TAGAAACTCACAGCAGCTCCGACGTGACTATAGGTAAACCCATCGATTCTTTTTATTTCGTTCATGTTTTTTTACGAGCATCGATACTGAACGCTCGATTTTTCAGGTCCACGTCTATTTCTGTCTTGTCCGATGGAAGTAACGGGTTCTCAAGTATGGTTCACGGACCTTTGGAACTACTCGGTAATACCATATCTGGTGGAAGCTGTCAGAGAAGGATTAACACTTTACGGCAGACGTGTGAGTGGAAATGGAAACGGTGATTCCTCTTGGGAAGATCCAGCGCAATTTATCACTTCGAGCTATCCATGGATTTCTACGCACGCGGTCCATGGAGGCAGCGATGCTCTTCTTCGTTTACGACCCGAAGACGTTGGCTATGACGTCGTTACTTCGGGACATGCTTCCGGGGTCGGCGCGTCCAGTGTTAAAAGCCTTGGCAGTACGCACAGCGATACCGAAGGAGATCCACTGGTGAATATCTCTTTCTACTATAATTCATTTCTTTTATAACTGTTACCATTGCTACTAATTGCACTTGCAATTCGTTCTTACTAATAAGCATTTTAACCCTCGGACGGCGAATCATGGAGAAAGCCAAAACATATACAAGAAACTTAAAATTAAATGATAATTTTCAGACGAAAGAGTTTTATAATGTCGGAGCAGTAATTTTTAAAGGAGTAGTGTAAAATTTAGAAAATGGAAATAATATGAAGTACAAAGTTACATTAATCTTCCAGATGATAGACCATGGAGAATTTTAATTTATTTTTATACACTTTATCAGTCTTAGAAGGATTTATTTCTTGTTGCAAATAACACATACATTTATATGAATCTCACAATATGGTAATTAATTCGCATTAACTGTTGCAGCTAAACATGTTGATGAGGTTACAGGAAGCAGCCAATTATTCGAGTCCTCACAGTAACGACAGTGACTCGGTTACCTCCCTCGACTCGTCGCACACTCGACACTCTGAAGATTTAAGTACATCAACGTCTTCGTCAAGGGGCGTAGAATCAGCGCTTTAATTTACTGCCAGCGATGAAAAGAAGGCAGTAGTTTAGAAAGACGATCATGTGCATCGGGCCAGTTTGTAACAAGCAGTTTCAAATACAGTTTATACTATTCAAGGCGTAAAAAGGGAGTATAAAAACGTGACAAAAAGAAAAAGAAGAAATAAAAAGAATCAAAAATAAATTTTGGATATCTTTAGGATACAAATCTTTCCTTTTTTTAACTTTTTACAATAATGTATATCAAACGGGCGGCGAATGATTAAACGAGAACCGTGATGTTTTCAACGGTACGTGATATTACCGATGCTCTTTATAAAATACGTCCTTCCATTTGCTCTAACGTAAGGCGGAGTGATGTGCATTATAAAATGAAAATGATAAATGTCAAAAAGAATTTTTTCAATGCCTACAACTGGCCTATATTTATTCTAGATTTTTTATGTGCGTGAAGCACCTCGGTGTGATATGTAATTAAAACAAACTTAATTAAGTCGAAAGCAGATTACTTCGATGTTTTTCGAACAATGTACCGTCTTCCGTTGACAAGAAGTCCCATGGAAATAGCGCGATCTGATTGGTCGCGCCCCGTCTCGGCTCTCACGTGACTTTGACAGTAACGTATTATTGGTCGATGCGATCACGTGTACAGGGCCGACCGGCGCATGCGCGGCATACCTGTCTGCCGTCCCGCAAGATCTCTTGTAATCGGAGGATAGTACGTACGTAAACGCGTGTATCAACTGGTGCACGCGATGCAATAATTCACGCTGCCGTTATGGAAGTATGACTCTATTTTAAACAGATACATTTCTACGATCAAATTGTAGCTTGACAGCGATACTTCACTCGAGATATTTGGATGGAATATACAGTATTATCGTGTAAGAGTCGTGTAAAACGGGAAAAGGGCTTCGAACTGAGCCATGATTTTAGGGATCGAGAAATCGTCATTCCTCTCGTCCACTATCTTCAGGTAATAGAGCTAATCGTTAGACAGATCTCATGGACGTAACACGCTCAAATAAAGTGTAATTTGTCTCGCCTTTAGGAACGCAGCGCAGTTCGAAGTAAATACTGATGGTGAATGTGCGTGCAAAAGAAAATAGTCTATTTATACATACTTTGCTACGAAAACTCTATTTAATTAAAGAATGTTAATATAATAATAATATACACACACACACATACATACATACATACACAACTTAACAATGACGGCGCTAAATGTATGTTACGGATAAAGTTTATAATTAAATAAGATACGTGAGTAATTCTGGTCATGTAACATTGTAAATAGGAGACATGAGTGGGACGTACTATGGCGCACTAGATGCGAATCGTTTTACAAACCCAATTGCTAGCCGGCGAGTTTTTTTTTTTGATAATGATGTTGTAAAGTGTAAAAAAAAAAAATACAAAATGGAAGGCAAAGGAATTGATCCCTTACGTGCAACATGTCAAAACGACAGGAGAGACAGGCTATGCAGACTATACATATTGTACATGTTTAACAGGTTTTTGTAAAACCGATCTTTCAATTTCGATCGGTGGTACGTGGTGAATACGAAGATGTGCATGTAACGTAATAATGATTATACAATTGCATTTACAGGTTTTTTACGTTTGTAACGTATTTATACGCTGTACGACGCTGCACTCGACCTTTATTCAAGTAATAATTATTGTGTCATCAAATAAATCACACTAAAACTTTAAGTGTTTTGTAATATTTATTCGTTTTTTCTGATCAAATTTTATATCATCTCTGTTGTGCCTATCTGTGTTCGACGGACCAAGGATAACTTGGTCCCGAGAGCGTTTAAAGAATTGGAATTTGCCAAAAATTGGAAAAAGAAAGATTTTTTATTAAAAATCACCCTTACAGGTTTGATTTTACTATGTATCTCTATGCTTTAGCCGTTTTTCTTCGACTTCTAGGGTGGTTTTTACATTTCCCATAAGTAATTAATTAGTTATTCCTTGATTAGTTATTAACAATTTTACATTGACCGCATGATTTATATAGATCAGCACACGGTCGAGGTTTTTCATTTTTACAGTTTAACAAATACAAAATAAACTTCAGTGTATTAACTACTTTCTAGTATGGGTTTTGTAAAGATCTTATTAGTAATTAATTAATTATAACGATTTTAATGTCTGAAACTCGGCCGGCGAGTACTACATGTCCAGATTTTTGATAGTTTTCACACTTCCGATGATCAATTTCTCGATTAAAGAATAAAGAATAACATCATAGCTTTCTTTTAGTATAGGTTTTTTCTTCCTGTAAATAATTAATTAATTACTAGCTGCATTAATTACTGAAAGAACTTTCAAGGATAGAGATACAACAGGTTTTTAAATTGCGCTATATTCATTGCTGTATATTGGCGTATATGGTTTGGGGTGTCAAGGACCCCGTTGACAATGCGCGCCGACCTGATATCTTGGGGTGTTAAGGACCCCTGAGCACCGGTAGAACTTCGTATATCGACATCATGGCGTCCGGGGTGTCAAGGACCCCGGCGACCAACTCTGCGCATCGATAAAATATCATTTGGGGTGTCAAGGACCCCGGTGACACTCTGCATACCGACATTATGGTATCCGGGGTATCAAGGACCCCCGCGACTGACTCTGCGTGCGCATCGGTAAAATATCATCTGGGGTGTCGAGGACCCCGGTGACACTCTGCATACCGACATTATGGCATCCGGGGTATTAGGGACCCCGGCGACTAACTCTGCGCATCGATAAAATATCACCTGGGGTGTCGAGGACCCCGGTGACACTCTGCATACCGACATCACGGCATCCGGGGTATTAGGGACCCCGGCGACTAAATCTGCTCATCGATAAAATATCATCTGGGGTGTCAAGGACCCCGGTGACACTGCATGTCGACATTATATCATCTGGGGTATCAGGGACCCCAAAGGTAATAGCGAAATATAAGACCTAAAAACGAACAAATCGTGTAACATTTGTTCAGAATAGCGATAGATTTGACCAGACATATATTGACCTGATATCATATGGGGTTTCAGGGACCCCGCTAACTTTCTGCGCACCGACCTAATATCATCGGGGGTTTCAAGGACCCCGGTGACTTTCTGCGCGCCAACCAAATGTCATCGGGGGTTTCAAGGACCCCTGCGACTTTCTGCGCACCGACCTAATATCACCGGGGTTTCAGGGACCCCGGCGGCTCTGCGCACCGACCTACCATCTTGGGGTGTCAGAGACCCCGATGAACCTTTCTACGCGCCGACTTAAAATTATATTGGGGTGTTAGGGACCCCGTAGCTTGGTCGATACTATACATACCGACATTATGGCATCCGTCCGCTGCTAGATGGCATCACTTGTACCATTTTCGGCGCAGGGAAAGGTTTATTTGTAAAAAACATGGCAAAATTAAATTTTTACAATATTTTTAATTTATTAACTCAATTATTTTACAAAAACTGTTTTTACACAAATTAAACCATCACAATACTTTAATTTACAATCTAAACTTAGAAATAAGGAGACAATATCATTACCAATACGGATTAATTGTAAAAGAGCGGTGATTTACAGATTTAAAGCATTAAATAAATAAAATCTTGAAAAACAAATAAACTACAAACAAATTCTTCAATTTACAATCGCAAATGTTTAAAATATTCATGAAAGAAACTGAAAATTGCCAATTATAGTCATTGTTTTTGTGTAATTGGCATTCAACTATTTTTTATTATGAAATTTTCTCTTTCATGATATTTATTTTATCCTAGAATAGATATTTATAGGATACATTTATAAAGTTAGTTTACAGAAACAAGACATAATGAGAACATGTATTTAAATTAAGAGTATAATTGAAATTGTTTCTTTACAACAATTTATACTTAATTATTTTGTAATTATAATGATTTATGTTTTTGACAAATATCAAACATTTATAAGAGACGCAATCAAGACACAAATTAAAACAATTGTAAGACATATTTATTCATTACAACACTCGTCTGAATCTTCCGCCAAAATTATATCATATCCAGGTAATGTCTGTGGATCAAATGTTGTTTGAAAACACTTCTGAAATATTAAACGAGCTTTCTTGGTTGGTGGAGGTGGTGAATTTGGTATTGCATCTCTTAACATATCAGAATTATTATTATCTTGCATTTGTTGTTTATCAGTTTCATCACAGCTCGACTTTCTTTTTGTTATTGAAGAAAATACAGAACTAACTAATCTTTTTCCACTTATAGATTTTTTACTTGTCTCATAGTTTGATGAAGAACATAATTGAGATTCTTTATTTGCATTTTGTTCTTTTAACAAATGACTCACTTCATTTGAATTAGCATTATCTCTTGTAGATTTATTAACTGATAAAGCATGTCGTTCTACAGAAATACTTTGATTTGTTTCCTTTCTATTTTCCATTAAACATGGATGTATAGTTTTAGAAGTAGCATTCTCTAATGTTTTATGCCGCTTAGCTGATTTATCATCTATTTTACTTGTAGATTTATTGGCTCTTCTAGAGATTTTCTTACTTTCGCCTCTTCTTTTCACAGATTTCTCTTGTCTACCGTCTAATGTTGTTTCAGTTTGGCTATCAGCATCAGAACTTACTGTAGATAATACTAAATTGGCTTCAAAAGATGGATTTTTTAATGCAAATATAACTGGTCTGAAAAATATTGACAAGTAGTTGTGTATATAAATGGAAAATAATTTTAATTTATACTATTACGTTTTACCTTCCTGCTCCTTCAAAGTAGGTGCCAATTGGAACACCCACAAGTTCCGCGAAAGTTAACAGAGATTTAAATTCCTTCATACAAAATGTTATTGATGTTTCACTATTGATATCATATCGATCAAATTCTCCTTTGCCAAGAGCAAGTTGTGTACGTGTTGTATTTGACAATCCTGCAAATTCCCTAATCCTATTTAACAGTAAACTTAAATTTTAACGTGTTACAATATTATTTACCTGAACTATCATCTACATAGTTTCTTAATAAAAGTTTTTGAACCGAAACTTCAAGCGTTATTTCTACTAATTGTTGATGAAAATTTTGTAACGCGTCTCCTAAAACACGTGGTTGAACTGAAAGTTTATTTGATGCACAGTCTTTATCATATGAAGTCTGAAACATAAAAGATGAAAGATAACAGTAAAAAGCATCTAAGTTAGATATATAAAACATACTTGTAATATTTCACAATCTAATATGGGTAACAGATGAGTTTTAGTAATACTATTCTTATATTTTAGAATGAACAAAATTTCAGATGCATCTGGTTCCAATTTAATATGGCACGTTACTATCTGTCTATCCATCAATGTTGGAGATTTAAATACAGTCATGGCACTCTGTAAAATATACACAAAATAAATTATTTGATACTTAATATAGAAATATCATTCCATTTTATTACCCTCAATGAAATTTTACATTTCAGTGCATCACTCTCCTGCAGATCGCCATAATTGTAGTATGAAAAAAAATTTTGGAAGAATGTAAAATCAGCATAGGCTGAATTTGCCATATTAACTGTGCGAAATGATAAAGCATCTTTTTGTGGCTCTATGTACATCTCATCTCCAATTTTTGCTAATGTATGTATAGCTTTGGCTAAAACTGTCCAATATATACAAATACATTTTTTTTAGTGAACACGTTCTTTGAAAAAAGAAGTAATCAAAATATAACCTGAATGAAATCAACATACTTTTTATATTTGCTCCTGGTGTAACACATTTCATATTGAACTTCTTTCATTACCACATTTGTTATTAACTAAATATCAAATAATATCCAATCCTTGATTAATTTAAGAATAAACTGATTCATAATATTATATGAAATTCGAAACAGACGCATCAGTCAATTCGACTTGTAAAAGTAATTATAAGTGTTCATACATATGTATTTAAAATCTATTATTAATAATAATTTACATAAATATTTGATAATTATAAATATGAACTTTACAAAGATTATTTATGTTACAAAGTTGTAAAAATTTACAGTAAGATTATTTTAACTCTGGTTCATATTTTAGCGCATTACAGGAGTCGTCGACACTTCACTACACTCGAATCTCGAATATCGAATATCGAAATCTATCTGTCAAGTTTTTTTCACAGGGCTATCCTTACAGATTAGAGGGCCCGGAGCAAAAGTCTAAATTATTAAAAATATTTAATTGCAAACAGATAATCGTAAAAACTATTTGATCTAATAATTTGAATGATTTTCAATTTTAAAAACTTGCGGTGTACATATACACAACAAAGGTAGCTGACTGCGACACGGTTATCAACCGTTCGACGTAGAGCGAAGTGAAACATCATCAGTCTTATAGCGACCGCCGAGGGGTGCAGATCTACGTGCTGAACATACATACATATACCCTTATTTTATTTTCTGCGTTCATTTAATTTGCTGTATTTATCTTTTTAACTTATTGAATAAACTCCTTAGGAGGACGAACGTGTCGATTTTATTACTCCTGTGTGCATCCTCTACATCCCTGATTCCTTTACATCTCTGCACCCCTTATAAAAATGCGTTATTTACATCCCAGTATTCCTTACATCACTGCATCCTTTACATCCCTGCTTTCTTTATATCCTCGCATCCTTTACAGCTCTGTCACCCTTACACCCATGCATAATTTACATCTGAGCATCCGTTACAACCCTGTCTTCAGCATATCCCAGCATCCCCAACATCTTTGCATTCCTCACATCACTGCATTCCTTACATCTCTGCAACCCTTACATCCCAGTATTCCATACATCCTTGAAACACTATTCCTTCATCCCTTACATCCCTGCAACCCTTATAATAAATATATCATAAATATAACAATATATTATAAAAACCGGTTCGAGTAAAGGTAAGTAAAGGTAAGTAAATTCAATTTTTGAATTTTCAATTTTCAATTTTAGGCCCTCTAGCGGCAAAAATGTGAACTAAAATCTCAATGTCCGATCAGCGCCATCTGATTTCGGAAAAAGGAACTAAAGCATGCATCATTTTTGGCCCTCTGGCGGCAAAAATGTGAACTAAAATCTCAATGTCCGATCAGCGCCATCTGATTTCGGAAAAAGGAACTAAAGCATGCACCATTTTTGGCCCTCTGGCGGCAAAAATGTGAACTAAAATCTCAATGTCCGATCAGCGCCATCTGATTTCGGAAAAGGGAACTAAAGCATGCACCATTTTTGGCCCTCTGGCGGCAAAAATGTGAACTAAAATCTCAATGTCCGATCAGCGCCATCTGATTTCGGAAAAGGGAACTAAAGCATGCACCATTTTTGGCCCTCTGGCGGCAAAAATGCGAACTAAAATTTCGACTTCGAATCAGCGCCCTCTGGCGGCAAAAATAGGAACTAAATTTGTAACTTTTTTTTACTCAAAAAGAGCTTACGGATATGACGGATGTGAAAAATATAAGGGATAAGGAGTTTAAGGGTTGCGGGGATGTAAGGGTGCAACGATGTAAGGAAAGCAGGGATGTAAAGGATACAGTGATGTAAGGGATGAAGGAATGTAGGGATGTAAGGGATGAAGAAATGTAAGGGATGAAGGGATGAAAAGATTGCAGGAATGTAAGGGATGAAGTGATGTAAGGGTTACAGAGATGTAAGGGATGTAGAGAAGTAGGGGATGCAGGGATGTAAAAGATGAAGAGACGAAAAGAATGTAGGGATATAAAGAATGAAGGGATGAGAAGAATGTAGGGATATAAAGAATGAAGGGATGAGAAGAATGTAGGGATATAAAGAATGAAGGGATGAGAAGAATGTAGGGATAAAACGATTGCAGCGATGTAAGGGATGATGTAATGTAAGGGATGAAGAGATGAAAAGAATGTAGGAATGAGAAGAATGTAGGGATGAAAAGAATGTAGGGATAAAACGATTGCAGGGATATAAGGGATGAAGTGATCTAACGAATGTAGAGATGTATACCGCAGTTCACCAGAATCCATAACTGCGACGCGCAGGTTGGAAGATGGTGGGGGAACGCAGCGAGCTCTCTGCTAATCGCTTTCCACTTCGTTTGGAAGTATCGCCAATCAGGGCGAAGATGCGCACTGGAGACGCGCGAAGAACGAAAACTGGTCTTTTCGCAGTTATAGACTCTGGTGAACTGCAGTATAGGGGATGTAGAGATGTAAGGAATGCAGGGATGTAGAGATGTAGGGGATGTATGGACCTTGGTCCATGAAGAGTAGGATTAGCATAAATAATAACTGGGAAGGGTGTGCCCGCGAGGCCCATAAAGAGAAATAAAATAATAAATAATTAGGAAGAGTGGGTTTGACCCATAAAGGAGGATAAAATAATTAATAACTGAAAAGGGTGAACTTTAGTCCATAAGGAACGATAAAATAATAAATAACTGGAAAAAGTGAGGCGGGGCTCATAAAGAAGGATAAAATAAATAAAAGGGGTGGTCGGCCGAGGTCCAGAAGAGAGATAAAATTATAAATTTTGCCCCGTTTAGCCGGTGCTAGGAACGGCCCTGTTCTTTCATATTGTCAGCAGTGTATTTGACACTTTGTTAGCCTTTATATTTTACTGTTAACAAATGCAATAAACTGTATATTAACTGTTAAAAATATATATAAAAAATATTATTAAATAAATCATGGTGAGCATTAAAAATAAATATTAATAATAACAATTAAGTTACATTTATAAATTTTCCAGCTTTTAATTTCTAACCTTACAAAAAAATTATATGATTTTATTATTTTGTTTATTCATAAATTTTTTATAATATAATGCTGTCAAAAAAAGTTATGTATGCATTTCAGAGGTCATATTACAAAATCATCTATTTTATTCTAAAAATCTTTATTATTTATCAAAATAAGGAATAAAGTTTAAGGTAATATGTTTATAGCTTGTTTTAGTATTAGGAGATTTGCACATTCCACACAGATGCAGTAGCCTTCCAAGCAAATTTAAGAAATTATTGGTGCCTGGCCGAATACAGCATATTTTATGTACAGGAAATCTTTGTACTAAAGAATCATACGATTACTTGAAAACATTGGCCAGTGATGTGCATGTTGTTAGAGGGGATTTCGATGAGGTATGTTTTATTTAATAGTATTAAATATTATAAGTACAAATATGAGATATATTATATTTACATTTGTTTTTATAGAATCTAAATTATCCAGAACAAAAAGTTGTTACTGTTGGTCAGTTTAGAATAGGATTATCACATGGTCATCAAGTTGTACCTTGGGGAGATCCAGAATCGTTAGCTTTAATTCAAAGACAGCTGGATGTTGATATTTTAATATCTGGTCATACGCATAAATTTGAGGCGTATGAGCATGAAAACAAATTTTATATTAATCCTGGCTCAGCAACAGGAGCGTATAATCCCCTTGATACGTAAGTTTCTATTCATTTCATGATACTCTATAATTATACAGAATGATTTACAAATGGTGTACAATCTGAAAACTGTAGATTCTTCTTTAAAACAAACATTTGTGTTATATAGATCAGTCATCCCATCTTTTGTTCTTATGGATATTCAGAGTTCAACAGTTGTAACTTATGTGTACCAACTTGTTGGTGATGAAGTAAAAGTTGAAAGGATTGAGTACAAAAAGAGTTAAAAGATATACAAAGATTTGAAAATATGTGTATGTACTTTAAGTGATATATAATATCCATTTCATGAAATTCTGTATCAAAATTCAATAATAATTCATGTATAATTTCTGTCAGGTCTGATATGTATCTGAATCAGCATTTAAGCTAATCTTATATAAAACTTTAAATTGTATGATATATTAATTGTAAATAAAATAATATCAAATATAAATTGCATCAGTGTACCATTTAATAACTTCTCTAACTGATAACATGCATTTTACTTTTATCCTTCATTTAATTACCTACATATGCATTGTAAATTTGTTTTAATCGAGAACGTAACACCATGCGTCTAGTCACGTATACGTATTTGCGTATAATATGACGTTCAACGCGACCTACTTTTGTAGTGCATCGAAATTTCTACATGTATTTTGAATCTGATTATTTTTATTTCCACGTAATCTATATGTTATTCTCATGGGACTGTTTGTTCATCACACAAGCTGATCAGAAGCTAAATTGTCTCACATCGTGGTAAAGCTGATAAGTTGGACATAGGCGTAGCAAATAAACAAAACTTAATATTTCTTTTTATTAAATATGATTGATACGTATAAAATTAATTACACTTTTTGTGCAAATGTATAATTTTCAGAATTTTGTTGTTTACTTTTGTAATTTAGTCTATATAGTTTTTTATTTTAACATTATTATGCCTCTAATTGAGAGACAAAACATGTGGAACGAAATTTTTGTAGGATATGTATGTGTTTAAATATAAAATTATATTACCTTATTTTTACAATTATTTTGTACGTGTTTATAAATATTTTTGTTGAGATACGCTTATGATTTTTATCTGAGAAAAGAAGACGTGTATAAGAACGCGTATCAAGAAGAAACATAATCAAGGGGAGGGAATAGGGCATTCTAGCGCATGCGCAATAAATAAAGAGGGGCTTTGTGACCGACCCATTAGAAAGGGCCCAATACATATTTAGCTCAGTTTGTATGGTTTCAGTTGTATTATTGAAGCTCGAACGGTTCAAAGTGAATTTTAAATTACTGTGTTTATCTACATTAAAGTTAGATTATAAAACATAATATATATTTCAAACAAAAATGGCAACTTTATTACAACGGGGCCTGCGATACGCAGCTTCAAATAAACTGCTGGAGAAAGGTATTATTTCAGTTTTACGTTTTGAAGTAATACCAGAGAAGAAAAACATTGTGCAACCAGCAAATCATAGATTCAAGGTAATCTGCATATTACTTTTCACAAAGAATAATTACAACATAATAGAAAGTATTTAAATAATTCGAAATGTTTCTTCAAATATTTATTTAAAATTTATTTATTTTCTATATTATAAAATTACTCTTTTCAAGTATGAAATAAGTAATTATTTTTGCGAGCTAAAACCCGTTATAAATGGGGACGATACAGGTCTCAGAATTTTATTACACCCTGTTACCTGCCGGATTGCTTGTCCCGTAAACTTACATCTCGGTACTTTACGTATACCAATACCAACCATTTTTCTCGTTTTTTAGTACAGGTTTGAAATAATTATGTACTATGTATAAATAAAAATTATTTAAGAAATTGTATATCTTTTGTTTGAAGTACAACGGAATCATTCGGTGCATGCACAGTAAAAGAGGCCTGCATTATACGGGAACCTCGACGTTTATAGACGAGCAACAAGAAAGCGATAGCGATTCGGACAACGAGCAAGAGAAAGTAAGATATATAAAATGTACAAATACATTTCAGTTAAATAATTCAATTCGATATAGTTTAAGGTTTTGTAGTTAGTATCTATACGTGATTGTTTGTTAAATTAATACGTATTATTAGTACTATTCAACATATACAAAATTACCGGTAAAATCATAGGGTCAATCACATTTTTGGAGAAGAAAAATGCGAACTCTGCATAGTCATTTAGATGTTAACAAAGATGGTGTTATTAGTTACGATGACTTTATGTTACTTGGCGACCGATTTTGCGATTTAGGACACTTATCTCTAAAAGCCAAAGCTGAATTTAAAAATGTATTGAACGTAAGTATAGAAATAACAAAGTATATATTAAATTGTACACAATTGTAAATTCTGTACAATTTAATAAAGTAATTATTTTATATCTAAACATATATTTTGATATAGGAAATGTGGATGGAACAGTGGGGAGAGATTAGTCCATATAATCTCGTATGTGTTGAAAAATATTTAGAAGAAATGCAACATGTTCTTAATGACTCATCATTAAAAAAGAAGTGTCATCATTTCTTGCCATATTTATTCAAAGTAAATATGTAAAACAAACTGTTTATATACATACCTCAATTTATCAGAAAATTTTTCTTCTAAATAATGTTATTAAATATACAATTTCAGGCAGTGGACAAAGATCAAAGTGGTGAAATTTCTGTACAAGAATTTAAATTATTTTTCCAGTGCTTAGGTCTCACACATGAAGTAAGTAAAATCATCAGTCCTACTATGAAATAAAACTTAAATAAGTGAACCAACTAAATGAAAATATTTATTATAGGACGCAGTTGTTGCCTTCAGTCACATTGATAGTAATGACGATGGAAAAATTAGTTTCGAAGAATTTATAACTTTAGGACGTGAATTTTTCATTTCAGAAGATCCAACAAAGCCCAGTAAATATTTTTGGGGGCCGTTAGTTGATTAAACTTCTTATTGCAATCCTGTGACTTGTGATACTAAAATATCGTATACCAATTATATTTACCATAATATATAAGGTTTGAACTTTAATTATAAGACAGATAATTTATAGGTTTTAAACATAAGTTTTCTACAAGTTACTGAAAGCACAATGTACGTATTTCTAGTTCCTTTTAAATATAATTAAAGAAAAAAAATGATAAAAGATATAAATATATATCAAACAAACTTTCAATAAAAATACAAGTATTTTTATGGTTAAGGAACTACTATAAGACTTTTGTTCAAAAATATAACAATTTAATAATAAATACAAATACTCACTTTTACAAACATATACACATGTAATAGTAAGAAAATAGACTGTTAGTAATTCAATCATTTTCTTGATTTTCTAAGAGAAAAACCTTCCCCGGTAAATGCCTTAAATTCATCCGGATCTTTTATCTGCAAAAATACATTTACGTGTATATTTAATCGCATATAAACATGTCTTTAAATTATATTTTACCTCTTTATTATTGACAGGTTTCATATTGCGCAAGAATATAAGAGTTCCTATTTTGTAATCATAATCTGGTATTCCTCTAATATATGTTGGTTTATTTGCAGATCCCTCTGCTTGAGCAGAATCTTTACGTTTCTTGCCATCTAATCTGTTGCCTTGTCCTTTAAATGGCACAAAACCAGCTGGTGCTGGCATTAAATCTGCAGGATCTACTATATTTTCATCTTTCTTAATTTCTTCCTCTGGCTCTACATATCCCACTGGAGGGGCAAATTCAACATTCATATCACATTCTATAATGCTAACAGCTGGGCCAGGTTTTGTTTCCAAAACACACATTTCATATATTCTCTGATTATATTTTATAGCTATAATATCCCCTGTTGTAAGACAAGCAAAACTTCTTAATCCATTTTCTAAAACAGCTTTAGGATTTGTGATATCTAGAAAATCTTCAGACTGTGGTTGAAAACGTGAAAATGTTGCAACTGGTAATGAAACGCTTTCAACATTTATTAATTCCTCTTCTTGTAACAGAAGATTACGCATCATCTGTAATTGCATCATTGTAAATGTATATTGAATTATATTAGAAAATATCTATAATTCTTTACTTACCCAATAAGGTAAATAAACTTTTCCTTCATCCGCTACAAATTCCAGAACACCGCAATGGGTAACTCTATTGGTCTTTTTATTAGTTAATTTAAATAACATGGGATAATTAATATTCAGCCTTGTAAGTTGTTCTAACGCCGAAGGAGGCATAATTACTAAAAGAAAAATAACAAATTACAATCTATTTCTCATTTTATAGACAAAGTATAAAGTTTATGGATACTTTTTCCACCGCGTTCTACATCTTGCCGGTATGTACCCGGCAACATTGACACAGAGAAACATTTATACTGGGTATTGAAAGGTCGTGGAATCTCCGGAAATACATTAAACCCAAACTGAAATCGAAACGTCATTTTGATAAAAATAACTTAACCTCAATTTAATACAAAACTCGACGAACGGAATATATTTCTCCGTTTTTTGCCTCAAAATTTTTTTACCATGTTTATGTATTTATTTCAGCAGTCCTTTAAAAATTTATGGATAATAGAACTCTTCATAAACATACAAATTTAGATATAAGTACAACCGTGACATACATGAATATATACAGAAGCAGATGACGTCTATACCGCAGTTCACCAGAGTCCATAACTGCGACGCGCAGGTTGGAAGATGGTGGGGGAACGCAGCGAGCTCTCTGCTAATCGCTTTCCACTTCGTTCGGGAGTATCGCCAATCAGGGCGAAGATGCGCACTGGAGAAGCGCGAAGAACGAAAACTGGTCTTTTCGTAGTTATGGACTCTGATAAACTGCGCTATAAACAATATACTTTACTTTAATTTTCCCCGGTTCGGAAAAAAGGGATACAATTTTACATCCCGTTTCCTCCGGGCGGTGTACTTTGGGTACGTTTAATGTCCCTTTTGCCCAACGAACATTTTCGGCCACGCGTGCCTTGCGCGCCTCTTTTCGAATTTCATTCTCTTTTGCATTTTACATTGTTTCATACATTTGCCATACTTTTGCTTCTGTTTTTTCGCCATACTTTTACAATTTTTTGTGTGTGTGCGCGTATGTCCCCTTTTAGTCGCCTCTTACGACAGGCAGGGGATACCGTGGCCGTATTCTAATCCCCCCGAGCCACAGGGGTCTATAAACAATGTATAATTTCGTCGCGGGAAAATATGTTTATGTATGTACATACATACATATATGTAAGCATATAGTCCTTAAGTGGCGGTGGTGGACAATTTTCTTTCATTCTGCGCATTATACTGGACATGTTGATTCTTATTGGTTCTTCATGCTCCGTAACCAAGTGTAACACGCAGGCGTCTTCTCGATGATCTTTATTAAGTTCATTTTTTACACATTGCTTCTTTTTGCTATTCATATATTTTTGTTCACTGTGTATATGTTTGATGAGGCGAAAAATGAGTAATAGAGGGGCGCCATAGGTGGTGAGGTATCATTTATTTAATTATAAGCTCATAAGGATAACTTCGGATGATGTCATCCTCGCTGGTTCAATGAAACTTTAAGTTCAATGAAACTTGGAAGGAGAGCGAGTAATAAATCTAGAAGGTGTCCCAAACTTTTTTAAATAGAATTAGATAATTTTTTATAGATATTTCTAAAGTGTGTGAAGTCCAGTAAAAATATACACAATGTCATATTACATTGAATTTATTGCATAGTATATCTAGATTATTAAAAAAATAAATGATTAATTTTATTATCATTATTATCTTTCCATTTCAATTATCACTTTCTATTAATCTCTCACAATAGTAAAGTACATTAATCAAGAATATATGGAATCTGAGCGATAATTTAAAAAGTAGATTATAATCTATAATTTCGAAAATAAGCCTCCTCTTAGCTGCTCCATAATTACTATACTCTGTATAATTTGAAATACAATATATCAAATATAAATTAACATTTAAATTCCATAAAAAGTTATACTGCCTGCAGTATTTCTATAAAAGCAGTATGCAATATTAAATGCATTTAATTTTCACTTATGCTCAAGTTTATTTATGTATTAAAGAAATATCAAACTATTTTGATTTTGAGACTTCATGCATAGCTTGTGCAATATATTCTACGTTTTTTGATGTTACACCTGCCATGGATATTCTGCCGTTCTTTGTCAAATAAATACTGTAATCCTTCGTAAGTTTCTCTACCTATAAAATAAATATTAATACGAATAGTTTAAATTAAATAATCAAGAAAAATTAATCAAAGTTTTTACTATACCTCCTCGGGTTTAAGACCAGTGAAACAAAACATTCCAATTTGATCTGTTATATGCGTCCATTCGCGAGAACTACCACTCTTTTTAAGATTATCACGCAACTGTTGACGCACAGATATAATACGGTTAGCCATTCCTTTTACATCACAAAGCCATTCTTCTTTCAATTCAGGATCTCCTAATATTTCATTAACAATTCTAGCACCATGTATTGGTGGATTAGAATAAATTGGTCTAATTAAAATTTTTAATTGGGAAAGAAGACGGCTTGTTTCTTCCTTACTGGTAGTAACAAATGTAAGTGCTCCAATACGTTCGCCTATTTAATATTCATAACGTTAAAAAATATAGTGATGTTTACATAGTACTTTTTATTTATATATTTACCATATAAACCCATATTTTTGGCATAAGATTGAGCTAAAGCAAATGGAATTCCTTCTTTAGCAAATAATCTAACTGAAAAAGCATCTTGGTCTATGTCACCTAAAATTTAATATTAATTTAATTTAATATTAACTATTTCTATTAATATCAGATTAATATTAATTGTAAATATATTGTTATACCTGAAGCAAATCCTTGATACGCCATATCGAAGAAAGGAAACAATTTATGTTTCTTTACTACTGCTGCCAATTCTTTCCATTGTTCTGGTTTAGGATCTACACCAGTAGGATTATGTGCACATGCATGGAAAATAATAATAGACTTTTCTGGCATTTTCTGTAAAATGTAACATTGTTAATAAAATTTCAAGATATTATTTTATAGTTTTTAAATAGCTGATATGTTACTAACACATATATCTTCTAGAAGACCTTGATAGTCCAATCCACAAGTTTTTGGATCATAATACCGATAAGATTTGACTGCAAGCCTAGCTAGCTTGAATATAGGACCATGGTTTCCCCATGTAGGTGTTGGTAAATATACTTCTTTGTTACCAGGGAAAAAGTGTGCAAAGAAGTTTGCTCCAATGCAAAGTGAACCTGTGCCAGAAAGTCCTTGAACAGTAGCATTCTAACCAGTTTAAAATCAGTTTTTATGTTAGCAACAACCTTTTCATTATTAGAATATATACACTAAATATAATACATACCAAACCATTTTCTACAATTTCACTACAATCACCAAGCGCTAAATTAATGCTATGTTTACAAAATTCTGCATTTCCAGCTATTGGTGCATATTCTTTATTCATTTCCTTAGATCTAATTTTATCTTCAGCCTGAAAAAAATTAATTTTATTGTATTTAATTGTTTTTATCTATTTATGAATTACAGTAACATTAAACTTAATTTATACCTTTTTTACACTTGGTAAAACAAATGGTTTACCATTATCATCACGATAAGCACCAACTCCCAAATTAACTTTTTTAGGATTTTGATCTTTCTTAAATGCTTCTGTAACACCTAAAATTGGATCAGGTGGTCCCATCTCTACATGAGACCACCATGAACTAGAACACAAAAAATAAATATCTTAATAGTTTGTTCAGTAATTTATTTATATTTAAATGTAACAATTTTGTGTTTCTCCATTCAGCAATTTATTCAAATAAACTTCCATACTTTGCATATTTTATGCTCCTTTTAAGCATTTATGCTACAAAAAAGTTTTTATTAAGAGTTATAAAAAAACACTTAAATATAAAATTAAATAACAATCTGTATGCACAGTAATAATTCAAATTTTTTTTAAGTAACTAATATTCCATTATAATACGAAGGTTAAAAGTGTCACTATACAAAATGTTAAAATCTTACCTCATTGGTTTAACAGTACATAAAATAACATTGCTCTTTTTTTTAAATAAATTACGAGAAAATGAAAGTTTCATAAGGCTTATATTTTGTGCCATTTTATTAACAATAAAATATAAATTCGGCTAATCTTCCAATAGATTTTAATGAATTGTTTGGAGCTGTCTATAGGTCTGCTGGTCTGGAGCTAACTGCTGACGTTGCCGTGCATCTGTTATATACACTCATGCGCACATCGGGTTTATTATACATATGTAATACTCGTGTAATACTGTTCCACGCTACTATGTAACTTTATCGCTTTTATTATGAAGTTTGCTTCTGTGTATACAACTATTATTTAAAATTTGGTTCCATAATTACTATTTAAAATGGTCTCATATTGTATAATTAACTTTTTATCTAAAATATCATGTTAATAAAATACAATATTATACAGAGATCCTAAAACTAATCATATGTAAGTTTAATGATTATTTAAAAGTTTTATCGAGCGGGTAACAATTCTTGTGTGTGTTTTTTACGTACGTAATTATATGATCTCATATGATGTATGTATTATATCATTATATACTGCATATTTATTTTATAATCTATAAATCTTCAGGGTCAAGTGGATAAATGAGAGCAATTATATGACAGTATTTATTTTTGATTCATAATAACTTGTTCAAAACGTAGTTTATAATTTTTTTAAGAAATAATATTCATATTGATACATTGTATTATACAGAAGATATAGAAAAATGTATTTTATTTAGGATTTTATTTATTAAAAAAAATGTAACAAACATAAAATTAACAATTAAAACAAATTTGTCTTAATAAAAAACTGCAAGTACATATGCAAAACATATATCTGTAAAGTAATTATTCATTTTAAATATACGTTCATCAATATTCATTTATTCGCATGTATATAAATATACACAAGAAATTTAGAAACACTTAATTAGAAAGTATGAAAGGTTTCCATAGCAGAAGATTAATTAAAGATAAAAATGTATTTAAAGAATGATAAATGCCTTATGCACATACATATATATATATATATTGTCTGTTTCACCAGAGTCCATAACTAAGCTGCGCAGGTTGAAAGATGATGGGGGAACTTAGCGAGCCTCGAAATTCCCACTCCTCTAATCGCTTCCCATTTCGTTAACCGCGAGTTTAATATACGGGGTGAAACAATAGTACGGTTGAATAGGAAGAATACAGAATGATACACGTGAATAAAAAAGCGTGCTACCTGTTATACACTCCAAATGATGCACTTTCGCGTAGACGCACCGCGTAGAGGCGTCTCAACGACGCTGTGCGCAAGCGCATGGGAGTAGGAGTATCGCCAATCAGGGCGAAGATGCGCACGAAAGAACGAAAATTGGTCTTTTCGGAGTTATGGACTCTGGTGAACTGAACAATATGTAATACTTGCATACATATTTATACGTATATGATTGGAGGAACAACTTCATATTATTGACTACGTTCACTGCATGAAATTTTCGAATCATAAATTTTCCATTTATTTACATGCACGAGAGATGAAATTGGTATTAAAGCGTGTAAATTCGAAAGCTCAAATAAGTAAAGTAAATACACCATATTTTAAATATGACTTGCATAAAAAGGACGCAATAGTTAATTGTGTTTAGTTCAACTGTAATGATGTGTTGCCTCTTGTGTGTTGTAAACATAGAGGTGCAGCTAATTCGTTATACAAAATTTGATAGAATTAATAATGACTCGAATGTATAAATTTTTGTAACTCTATAATAATAAGGAATTATAAAATACGATTTTAGTTGAATTTTTAGTCAATTAGTAACTCAAAAAGCATGCCTATACTTAACTTATGTATTTTAAATATATAAAAAGAACCATAGTTCTTTATGAACTAACTTATTTGATGAGAAATGCAAATGCAAATACCTTTAGGATTCAGCCAAGATGAGAAGACAAATTCATCTTGGTCAAGGTAATTATTACATATGAAGGTAGTAATTAATATGAAACATTAAAATTTTAAATTACATTGTAGAAAGGAAAGGAGAAAATGGTTTTTATCATTATTATGTGGCACTTGTCTTATATATGCTACAAGGACATCTGTCCCTTTATTAATGCCAATTATAAGTAAAGAGAAACAATGGTCCAAACCAGATTCTGGAATAATATTATCCAGTTTCTTTGGGGGTTATACATTAACACAAGTTGCAAGTGGTTATATTAGTGATAAAGTCGGGGGACAGAAGGTGTTATTGGTTTCAGCTTTTGGATGGTCTATGACAACATTCTTTATGCCAGAAATCATAGAATTCTTTTCAAAAAGTGAAGCATCTGTACTATTAGTAGCAATAGTAAGAACAATAAATGGGGCTTTCCAAGGTACCTGTAGGAAATTTGCAAATTAAATAACATAAACATGTGAAAGATATTTATAAAAATTATACATTATAGGAATGCACTTTCCTAGTATGATTAGTTTGATTAGTCAACGATTACATGAAACAGAGAGAGCATCATTCTTTAGTTTATTGACATCTGGATCTGCTCTTGGGACATTACTCACTGGATCCTTAGGTTCCTACTTACTGGAAAATTATAACTGGATGACAGTCTTTCAAATTTTAGGTAAATTAATATAGTACAAATATTAATATAGTAACAAATAGCCTGAAATATTATTGTGAATTTTAATACATTTAAAATTGCTTGAAAATGCGAACGTGTTTTTAATTGTAATATTTATAATTGTAATAACATGTGCAGCTCATAAATACAGTGTACTAATTATATTTTTATTAACAAATTTATTTACATAGGAGGTTTGAGCTTGGTATGGACACTTCTATTAAGTTACCATATTCTACCATTTAAGGAAAAAGCAGCTTCTATTAAATCAACTACTAGCTACAGTTTGCCTTGGTTGAAGCTTCTGAAAAAACCTCCATTCTGGTAATCTTTGTGCATGGGGTCAATTTTGAATTCAATTATCTTAAATCACAAAATTTCTGACTCAAATCTAAATGTACAAAAGTATATGTAGTTGTATAGATTTTTTAAATATAATACAATTATGAATATTTAAACAAGCTTAATTTTATGTATAAACTATAATTTTCAGGGCATGTGTAATAGGCCATGCTTGCCAAAATAATTGCTTTTTTGTACTGTTGTCGTGGATGCCAGCATATTTCCATGATACATTTCCTGAAATAAAGGTAGGTAATTATTAACTAATACTTCAGCATTCTACTTAATTGTCAATATTTTTAACAACTTCGTTTATTTAGGGTTGGGTTGTAAATATGGTACCATGGTTGTCTATACTACCCTGTACATTTTTGGGCAAAGCACTTTCCGAAAAAATTATAAAAGCTGGCTACTCTGTTACAGTGACACGTAAAATAATTGAAACAATATGTTTTATAACTGAAATTATAAGTTTATTGCTTCTAGGTATGTATATTATTGTATGTAACAAATAAGCAGTGAAATTAAATTAAAACTTATTTCAGCAAATGTGACAACTTTTCAAAGTGCTATAATCTGCCTTGCATTTATAATTGGTGGATCAGGTTTTCATAACAATGCAATTGCTGTAAATCCTTCAGATCTTGCACCCAAGCATTCTGGCAGTGTATTTGGGTTAATGAATACTGTCGGTGCTATACCTGGTAAATAAAGGTACAATTGTATTATTTTGAAGTAAAAAAAATATAATGATGACATTTTTTCAGGATTTCTTGGAGTCTATTTTTCTGGACATATTCTGCACGTAACACACAGTTGGTCTGTTGTATTTATATTTATAGCTATAATAGATGCATTAGGATGTATTATATATTTATTATTTGGTTCTGGTCACGCAATTATATAAAATATTATGAACCAAATTTTTTGTTATCTCTATTGTAAATAATGTCTTTGTTTGAAATTAATTGTACAAGCTGTAAAAATATTAACAATAGAAAAAACGATATACAAAATGCCATTTAATATATAAATGTGCGACGTCAACATTACAAGAAGTTTCGAGATTTAGGTGAACATTGCGTTCACATTTTAATAAATTAATGGGACAGTCATTTTAACTTGGATATTTTTTATTTTCCTCGATTACCTTATTAATTGTAATAAAAGTATGTGAATAATCTACATAAATAAAGCAAATGTCTCAAATTTCATGTACATGTACTTTTCTATTACATCATTCTGAAAGATAATTGATTATTATTTGTAAAATGGTAACTTTTTATTAATCATTATACATTTTTCTATAGAATAAATTTTAGCATGTTAGATAAAATATTATTATACTCTTTGAATTGAAAAGTAGCCAATACGATGATGGGTATCTCTGATTGTCAGTTACATGAAAATACTGCTTGATCATAGACTGGATCAGCAAGTGCCTGATGCCTTTTTTAACGCGAGCATGTGAACGGACCTCGAGACTCAGACTTTTCGATTCGGAAGATTTCGTGAGAATTAACATACGCAGCAGAGACAATTGCAGAGGTAGAATTTTATTTTAAATAACGCGATCGTGTGCTTGTTTACGCAAAGTTTTTGATGAACGCGTGGTTTCGTTCGTCGGCGCTTGTCGTTTTCACCGATCGTTCGGTCGCGCCTGCCTCTGCCTGCTGCCGCGAATGTGGATGCTTCACGGTGTGCTGTACTGCTGCTGCCGCCGCTGTGCGTTTGATGTGCTCGCCACGGCTGATTGCCCCCGGATTTTGAAGAGTCTTTCACATTCGTGAACGATTTGGAACTGGTTCGTTATTGTACCAGACCCCGCCGTGATTGTCACTTGATAGCAACACCCGAGGCGCCAAAGCTGTCCGCATCGGCGCTTTCTTCAGCCCAAGTGGTATCAATGTTGTCTGGCAATGGTGTGTAAGGAGAACGTGGTATCATGGTTTGGGAATCTGTCCAGGTAATAGAAATATTAACCACCCATCCTACGTGGTTAAATGCCATATTTTCTTTGTCGAAGATAAATCACTTCGTCTCTCTCATTCCTAACACGCTGTTACGTTTTTCATCATGACCTCCTCATTCTTCTTGGTAAATTTCGAACTAACCAAAAAGAATATTCCACAATTTTTAACTAATTATGTCAGAAACCATGATAAATATCCTAATATTCGAGAAATTGTTGAGATGTTGATTTTTCCTGATGTCTAATACGCTACGTTTTAGACGCGTAATTTTTCTGTTTATTGCATACAAGTACCATGTATGGTTGTAGCTATATTTGTCTATAATTACTGGTATATTTAAAATATAACAATCAAGTGACAAATACATTTTTTGTATGCTGTCTTTTGTAAATTGTAAAATGTAATATGTACATCATAGATATTATAAATATCAGTATCATTTATAATTTATGTTAAAAGTCCATTTTAGCAATACTTTAAAAAGAATATTATTAAAAATTTTTCAGTTCAATATAATTCAAATAAGATGTACACATATCTCAATTAGACATGCATTTGTATATTATATAAATTTTAAATATTATCTTAATATAGTTTTAACAATTTTAGCTATAATTGATGCCTTTAATAATATTTAATGAAGTAAGTTCAACTTGTTTTATAATATAATTTATGACAAAGAATTAAATTATTTTATATTATATTCTAAGCATTTACATTACTAATATATTTGTACACTTCAGATTTAAATATAAGCAGTAAAAATACAAAAAAAGAAGATATAAAATTAACATATTTATAGTTAGAATAAATCATAAAATAAGTAAGTGACTTCCTTTGTATTAATATTTTGGGCAGCATTTTTGTATACTTTTCAATATATATTGACATTTTATAGCATATTTGTTGTTTATAATATATATTTTCATATATGTGCAGTTATAAACGCATCGATGTCATGTGCACGTTATTAAACATGTGCCTGCCATTTGAAGTACGATATCTTGGCACTTGTGTGGAGGATATTGGTAAGCGGGATTATAATGACCTCCGTGACACGGAACATCATGCAAATAGCGCCTCTGATCTTGCTGAGTTGACAACTCTAGGCGTGGCAGATAAACGCACACGAAGAAAACTTGCTCTCTATATGGCATTATTACATTCGTGTAATTATGCATGTGCAGTAATCTTGTACAAAAATCTATCAAATTTTGACTACCAAGAGATCTCTAACCTATTAAATGGGACCACCTTTACACCGGATGACCAACCATTAGAAGAGCTGCTCTTATTGTATACGATGGCCCTAAATCATCCAGCGTTTACATATGAGCAGAAAAGTGTCTTCGGTAACATTTACATAAAGCTTCAAGAAGAGGAAGCTCGATTGAATCTCTCAAAGTCAAATTCATCCTTCAAGCAGGCACAAGTATGTGTAAATTTTGATGTAAATGATCAAATATCTACTTTATTATGCTAATGATATTAAATGTTTATTATGTACAATAAATGATATGTTTTTTATTTCTTCTTTCTTATATTTCTTTTAATTTCAAAATATAAAAATATATCAATTTTAATTACATTTATACAATGTAATTAATGTACTTATTATAATAGCAGAGCTGCACACCATGTATGAACACAAATGAGAGATTGATGGACACAGAGATGCAGAGCAGTTGTATGATGGCTCCTCCACCAATGCAAACTTACCATGGTAATTTATAATACTTAACTTTTACATAATTTATGTGATGAATAAAAATCATCAGCAATTAAAGATAATTATTTATAGGAGAAATGGCAATGAGGAATAATACCATGGTAACCGGAGTTCCTCCTGGTCTATCGATGCCTCCTCCTGGGTTATGTCTACCTACCCCTGAACAAATGCCAATGGGATCAGGTGGTGCGACACAGTATCTTCATCTTGGTTTTCCGTCAGTAAATCATATGCCACCGTGGACAGGTCAGGTTATGATGGGAAATCAACTGATGTATCATACTGGCGACATGTTGGCTTATCCACCTTCCCCCTTAGTCAGTCGTCAATCGTCGCCATCCCAGTCTCGATCTCCTAGTCGCAGCAATTCCCCAATGGGTCGCCGAAATAATACCATGCCGCGCACCTCTTCACAAGTGACACAGTCTACTTCAAACACCTTAACAACTTCAACGAGTGCCTCTAACAGTCAGACAAGCATCTCCAGTTCAAATGCCAATTCCCTTCCTCCACTTCCCACGTTGGGTACGAGCAGAAGTCATCCTAGTCAACCCCCACTGCTTCCATCACGTTCTGTTCCCTTATCTATCAGCAGTTCTACTACTTTTTCACGGCATAATAGCATCGAGAATACCTCTTCTACCTTAATTCCGGCAGCACCTCAATCAAAACAACCACCACCACCACGATTGCGATCTTCGACTTCTGGCGACTCTTTACGAGAAACGTTAGGAAAGGAAATGCCAAATTTCAAAGGCAATTTGCAGAATTTTTCTCTCGACGAGGTGAGATAGTATAGTTTTAAGTCAATTAATTCTTATATAAAATATACTATAAAGTATTTACTCTATGGCTAACGCTTAATAAAAGTTTCTATAAGAAATTCTTATATTACTTACACCATATTGAGTACAGATTCGAAGGATGAGCGATGAAGACTTAAGGGATATAGGATTAACGCCAAATGCAGTAGGACAGCTGCGGAGCATAGTTAAAAGCCAAACCACTAACGGTTTAAATCAAATCACTGTTGATAAAAAGTTGGATAATACAAGCAGCACAACACATGCAGTTGTAGATCCAATTGAAAATGAAGTAAGGATTAAGTGTTGTATTTAATGGAATAAATTTAATTCCCATTTAAATGTTATAAAAATAAACACATTTTAATTCAGGCTATGCCGGGAATGGAAATGTTAAATGATAATGGGAATCAAAGTAGTAAGTCAATGCCATTACAGGAACAGCATCCAGCGATGCACCATCATCATAATCATGCAGCTACTCCTAACCTACGGCGATATCCTACTATGCCACCATTAGATCCTACGCAAATACAGATGTATCCTGCACCACCACCGATGTACGCTGCACAAAACGCGCCTTGTTACGCTTGTCTTACGTTACCCGTTGCCGGGGTACAAAATCGTTATTCAAGGTAAGAAAAATATTAAACATTTGTTGAAACTGAAATAAAACTGAATTAACATAACGTTATGCAATATTTCAGATGCAACGCTCAACACGTATATTGTTTAACACAATTACAAGCCTTGAGGTTAGACCCTGAGAGTAGTAGGCATTGTTCTCAAAGTAGTAGTTCAGACAGTACCGGTAGTAGATCACCGCCAGAAACGCCTCCCGCAGCACCGTGGGTGAGCGGAAGTGAGGGTAACGCGCCACCAGTTTCTGATCACCTTAGTTCCGTGCCGGTACATTCAACGAGTGCAGTGTCACACGCCACACCTCAACAGCCTATACAGTCAGGACCAGAAAGGCAGCGTACTAGAAGAAATCAAACGCATGTTATGCGTCATAAAAATCAAATGGTGAATGGTGGTGGACCACCGAATCTTTCACAATGTGTTTCCTTTCCTGCACCGCCGTCGCATTCGCAGGTCACGTATCTGCCGCATGGTCATTTCTCGGCACTGAGACCGAGCAGTGGTATTTATTCGAACTTCTCACATGGACCGTATACAAGGCCGGCTTATCCGACTACGTATCAGCCAAATGGTGAAATGATGTACCAGTATCCTGGACATCCATCTTCTGGAGGTACGCCACCGCCTCCTCCAAACGCAGCCGCAACACCAGTACAGGCGCCTTATATGCCACCTACTCCGGTTGTTACGTATGCACCAGCTGCCGTCCCGCCAACGAAAATTTCGTGTTATAATTGTGGCAGTAGTAGTCATCTCGCAGTCGATTGTAAGGATCAAACTATGGAGGACCTTACTAAAAAAGGTAATTTTTGCTTCTGAGTTTTAATCTTTTGCGGTATTTTTGTTTTATATTGAAAATAATATAAATATCAGTCTTAACGGTAAATACATATATGCCTGTGTATTTTGATTTAGATAATTTGGACATGTAGTTTTATATATATGCACATATATACAGGATGTCCCACAGTGTGGTGATTCTCGTGCAAAAAATAGGTTGAAAATATAGAATAAAACTTCTTCAGTAATTCTACAATTATTTAAGAAATAATAAGGTATAACGTGATTCTTTCCCTTTTGGGCTAAATATTGTAGGATACCCTGTATATATCCATAATATTTCTAACTTTTAAATTACCTTATAGGTTAATATACAGAGTTGTCTAATCGACAAGTAATCTTTATTTTTTATTTACAAAGTGTATAAAATTATATATCATATATAACAGTATAATAGTTAGCCTTTTGTGGTTCAAATATGCTTTCGAAATAGAATCTAATATACAGAATAAATGGACTGCAAAAGGTTAATGTCTATTATAATGATTGTAAGAAATGAAAATCTTGATAAAATTTGTACATTTTATATTTTCTATTTTCTTTCACAAACAATAAGGAAAACTTCGACTTTCAGCCCAGTATCGTCTAGACTACAGCATAATGAAACAACCTGGAGAGTGCCCAAGTTCTGACAAGTGATCCCCTGCCACGGACCACTCAGCAGTTTTTCGCCATCATCATTACCGTAATTACTGTTACCATCATTGTCATTATCATTTTCATTACCACTATCACCACGCCACAGCAATACAATCTAACAACGGAACATATCGTACCCGCACACGCCGATTTTGATGAAACTCATATGGGAGATAGTACTCAGAAAAATATTTCACACTTATTTTTTTTTATCGGCAATCGTCCATATTGGAGAGATGATAACAATTCTCAAAGTTAAGGGTTGAAAACATATTTTTTGTAGTACCATATATCAACTAAAGAGCATAGGAGAAAGATTTCTTTTGAATTGTGTATTTTTAACACCAAATAATATTTAACAAGAAAAAACAAGTAAAAAGTTCAAATTTTAAATATATTATTTAAACAAATGATTTTTCTGTATTCGTTTTTCCCTAAGCTCCTTAACTAACAAAAAAAAAAAATTTATTTTTAATTTTCAATTTTTAGGGTTGTTACCATCTTTTCAATATGAACGATTGCTGATAAATAAAAAATACGCGTGAAATATTTTTCTAAGAACTATCTTCCGTATTAATTCCATCAAAATCAGCGTGTGCGGGTTCGATATGTTCCCTTGTGAGGACCGTTCAAAAGATGACTGCTATTGCTCCTCGTGCAAGTTTTCGGTGATTTTTGTAGACATCCCTTATATTCAGGACGACGATTTTTTAACAGAGGATGTTTCGCGATTCACGGTACCAGGTATACTTTTTACAAGTTCTTATTTATAATAGTAATTATTCTTAACCATGATTGTAAAGAAAAGGATGTCGTGTCGTGTACAAAGGATGAAAAGAAAAAGTGACAAAAAAAAAAAACGAAGAGAAGCATTACTCAGAATGCAATGTTCTTATATCTAAGTTTTTAGAATACATTTTGAGAGATTTGTGTTAGGTATTGACTCGCATCTTTCCAACGATACCTATGGGCTACTTACCACCCCATCTTAACCCGGTTTTCCCCCCGTTTCTCTAGTAATCTAGCCATAAACGAAATGCAAAGATGAAAAAAAAAAAAGAATACAATGCAATGTGTTCTAATTAGGTGAAACTACCACGTTTGACTATATTTATCATTCATACTTTTACTTCTACTAGTATGTCTACTACCACTATTACTACTATTACTATTAAAACTATTACTATTCTATTATCGCTACACGACGTTTTTATGTATATATTTTCTCAATTCTTACATGCGCAATGCTTGAATGAGTGCAAATAAACAAAAGAAGAAAAGAAAAAAACATGGTGTGAATGGGAATGAGTAAAAGAAAGCGAATGAATGGATGTACATATATGATAAAGAGAGAAAGAAAGAGAAAAAGAGTGAGAATGAATAAAAGAACAACAAACCATAAGTGTTCGATCGTCTAGCTGCCTTTGCGCTCCTGTGTGTATAAAATTACAATATGTAACGCTACTCATCACTCGTTTATTAACTTATTAATAGTTAGGTAACTCTCATCCTATTTATACAGATAGTCATGCAATGACGTGCAACTGAAGCAATTTTATACGACTTTTATTGATCGCCCATCTTTTTTAAGTATAAGCATAGAAAAAAAACCATGCGTTTAGAATTTTGTTAGCGAATAATGGAGGAAAAGAAAAAGAAAAGAAAAAAAAAAGAAGGAAAGAACAGTGTAAGTTTAATTAAGTGTTAGCGTTTTAGGTGTGAGTGGAGTGGCAATCTGCGTTGTACTCGCCGTTGTAAAACAAGTTGCTACTGCATTTAAACCAACTCTCAAAAGAACACTATTAGTAAGTGTTAATCTAATTCTAGAATCGCATAATTTGGCAGATATTTGTCTAGCTCTTATTATTGTGCATCAGATCTATGTGAGTTAGATTTTAGGTATCTAAACTAAAAGAAAGTTATTATTAAAGAAAAAGTGGGACGAGAATGAGATAGGTGTGACTTTGAAAAATATATGCATTTAAAAAGCTTCGTTTCGAATAGCTTCTGGGTATAAAAGTGTTTCTCAGGTGTTTCATTTTTGGTTGGTAATGAATTATTTCTTTCTTTGGCAGCTAGTCAGTAGCCGCGATAAATTTTTGAGATTAATGATTTTTTAGAACTTAATGTTTCGCTAGGATGAAAGTTTGACTGTAAGGAATGAAGCGAAGGGTTTTCAGAGATTTGTGATTTTACTATTGTATTCGAGTCATCTGACGTTAATAATTTTATTCTAACAATACTAACTCGCTATGATATTTTTTTACAAAAAAAAAAAAGAAAAAAAACGAGAAATATTTCCTACATGTTTTTCTAAATAATATTTAATCTTTCAAAGCTCCAAAGAGATCCAAAAATTAATTATTTAACTATAAATTAAAGATGATAAAGAAACTATAGGTTTCGTTATAAGTTAAGTCAAACTTTTGTCAATTTCTTCAAAGAAATTTCATCTTCATAATTTATAAAACCTGATTTGGTGTCGTGATATTTAGTAAAAGTGCCATTTTCATCCAAATACCCAGTGTCTTCATATCGGTCTATTAAGGGGAAAAAAAAAATAAAGTTTTTCTTGCCGTTACCGTTATAGTCAATGATAATTTTCGAAAACTACCTGAGAAAAGTTTTGAAGTGGCTGTGACCGATGAGAAGTTAATGAAATTTCTATTTAAATCTATAAATGTTGAACATCTTCAATTTCATTCTTAGGAATTCTTTCCTTGGTATTAGCTCTTTCTTTAAACAATAGATTTCGTCCAAGTGGAATTTACAAAAGTTACTTCATCAATTGAAATCTGTTGTCTGACAAGAGCAGAAAATGTGTATGCGCTTCTCACTCAGTTAGAAAAAACAAAGGAGTCTGTAACGATCGAACTTTTCTGATAGAAAACTAATCTCGTGTAATGGCAGGGTTCAAAATCTTAATCGTTTATAGAATTAATTTCAAATTTACCAATATACAGGATGTACGTAAGAAATTGAGGCCAAATTGATATGTAGTGTTAATGGATTTGAATAGATGAAAGTAAAAGTTTATAATTGTTTTTAACATGTTGACTGCAATAACTGATGCTATAAATTTAATTTGATTAGAGAAAAAAAGAAAATTCTGCATGGCAGTAGAATTACATTAATAATACAAAATAGCACATTGAAATGTCGAGTTAAAAAATTAACCCTTTGAGGATGAAACATTTATAAGCTTGACATTATGTACGCGAGGAATATTTTTATTAAGCTAAATTAAATAATATTCCCTTGTGTTACACTCATATATCTACAGCTTTTATTTGCGTCAATATTCTAAGAAGGTATTTGCCAAATATGTGTATCATTTGTATATCAAATGGTTAATTCTTTAATATTTTGAATAATTTGTGTTGTATGCCATTTAAGGTATAAGTATTTCTTCTATAACAATCATTGTATTAATGAATTATAAGCGTCCAAAGAATTGCAAGCAGAATTTTTCTTATAAATAATTTCAGAAACAAATTATGCTTAATTATTATTTACACATTTTGACTTTTGTAAGAATAATTTTTTCTTCTGCAAGAATTTAAATTTCTGAATTTTTAAAAATATTCTTGTTATGATAGAACTTTTGGTCATTTATGTGTTTATAATTTTTTTTATGAACCAATTGCTTTTCATATTTGTAAGAAGAATTCCACTGATGTATCTTTAGAAGCTTATTTATATTGTTTTCATCTATTTGACTCTACTTATACATTGTATCAATTTGACCCTAATCTCAACGAACATCTTGTATATTATTAGACTATTTTTACAAATAACTGTATGTAATAGAAAAATGAAGTGCTCGAAGCTTGCCAGGCAGTAATAAATTATTGTTGACCAAACAATATCTTATAGCCACGTGTACATAATCAGAAGCAATAGTAATTATTAAAACGTGTTTCTTTATTGCTGTTTACTAATTCTACTGTTGACATATTGAAGACCATGGTGTATGTTTAACGATCTCTAATTGTACTATTGGCAATAAGATGATAAACTTCTTCTCATAACTATAAGCAATATCTTTTAGCATAACACCAATACACGTTTTACAAATGGATGTTGTATAGCGTTAACAATGTAAGCAGCAATAAGAGGAATTTTCTACTTCCGTTATTAATTTGCAGTTGTACAGAAAATCGAAATCTTTAGCAATAAATATTATATCGTTGTTGCAACAAATTCAGGCAGAATTATAATCGTTATTATTAATTTTTTTTTAAAAATATGTTTTTCAGATCTTTGTTCTCATTGAAGAACATTATATATTTCTCATGTTAATCATTTTTATCAGTTGCAATGTTATAGAATTATTGTATGGTGTAAATCAAGACTCCTTTGTTTAACACATTGACTGTTAAAGTTATGAATAACTTTAATATTAAATTTAAGTTCGCAATTTGCTGTTTTAAATTATTAGTATAATAATCAAAATTTATATTTTCTTTTGAGAATTTTTCAATTACATTATCATGGCAGTCAACGTGTTAATAAGAGTACATTAAGTACGCATTTAAGGTTAATTAAGAAATAGTAGGAGAGGGATAGAAGGTTTTTGTTATTGTTCAAGTTGGAAGAAAGTTCAAATGCTCTTGATCAAATCAGTATTATACGTAAACGAATCAAAAAGAAAAGTCAAAGAATCATATCACTTGAACAGAAGCGATAGAACAGGAGCGTGAGAGATTAGTAGTAGTAATAATAATTATAACGAAATGATAATATTAATATTAAGTCTAGTAATAATAGTAACATTAAATTATATATATACATATATATCTATATATTCGTAACAAAATAGAGATGTAAACTTTCCGGAAAGATTGAAATCGTCTTTCGGGTAAAAGACATTTTCGTTTTTTGAAAAATATCGATGATAAAAATAAAAAAAAAAAGAAAAACGTTAAAAAAATTGACTCAGATGTTGGCATATAACCTCGGTTCGTTAACATATTTATTTATTCCAATGACGACCGTTTGCGTTATTTAATCTCTGTTAAAATAATCAATCATTGATTCCTAAATTTTTGTTCCGTTAGTGTTCCGTTAAAACTCACGTTCTTCTCTTTTTTCCTCCATCAAACTATCTGTAACGTCATTACGAAGCTAACAATAAATTACAAAGTACAAGCAATTAAGTATAAAAAAAGTAGTTCTGGTTTATATTTTGCATTGCGACAATGTTCAACAATTTTCTAAACGAAAACTTTCTTGACATTTTACATCTCTAACACTTGAACGAGCAGAATGACTTCTGCTTCCAACGAAAAATGAAAAAACAAAAAAAAAAAGAATACAAGCGAGAAGAAACGAGAGAGTGTAAGAGTGTATCTTCTTTTTTTTTTCTTGTTTGGACATACAGGGGTGTAATTGGGCAGCGATTAGGACTGTACAGAAAGGAAAGAAAGACATAGACACGCGTGCAGACGAAAGATAAAATGCAGATATTACAGACAGAGAAACACATCGTCGGCATAGTGACTTAAAAGCGCTTACAATTAACCATTTATCATATACATTTTGCCGCGTTCGCGAGCCGAGCTCGCTTTACAATAAATTACATCAAGTTTACACTGGGCGACCGTCGATCCGGAAAGCTTGCCCGACACACGAAGGACAATACGTGAAGTTAACCTAAAAAATAAAAAAAAATAAAAAAAGAAAAAAAAAGACACGAATTATTGCGGTGGTTGATAAAGAAAATTCAAGATGTCGAGTGTTGGAAAAGCGTGCTATCAAAAGAAAAGAACAAAAAAACAAAAAAAGATCAATGTATGAGTGTAATCACGATTATCCAAGTAAGAATAGAAAAATACAAAAAAAAAACGTATGTATAAATAAAGAAGAAACATTTTTAGCAAGCATTTCGCAGTTTGGTGTTCGTAGACGGTCGCTCGTGTGAGGATCGGATCTTTCGTCACCACGACGAAAATAAATAGTGTCATCGTGGTTACTGTACGGTGTAAAAAATAAAAAAGAACGAGGACAAGTGTGCAACGAGAGAGAGGGAATGAGAGAGTGAGAGTGTATGAGAAGCAAACACTAAAACGAAAAAAAATTTGTACGGAAGAGTTTTGTGCCACTTTGCCGTCATATGTACATAAAGAAAAATTTGATGCGAAAGAGGAAGAATGGATGGATAACTGGAGTATGATATTTGAAGCGTGTTAGAGGAAAATGAAGATAGATTTACATACAAATATGTGATGTGTATATACATGCTATATATATGCATATATATATGTGTAGATATATACATACATATGTGTGATATATATGAGATATATTTGTAAATTCTGTTATCTGAATGCATTATAAATATTTTAACCTCCTGTAATGAAATATTTAATAAAAAACGTTACCAACCAATCCGTCTACACGTTTAAAATAAAATAATTGTATTTTCTTTTGTGCGTGATATAGTACAAAATGGTAAAATGTGTTGGAAGATACAGTTTTTTTAAAACGAATATTATCAAGATGATTTTTTAAATTTATGTATATGATAATATACAGGGTGTAATGCAAGTGGTGGTACAGGGGGTAATATGGAGATTTTACTTATGAATATATAGGGGATAAATAAAATAATAAAAGAATTAAGATTTCTAGGACCCGGGGATATCAAACTTTCGAGGGCCCGCCGATCGATAAACTTGGTTCAAAAATTCAAATTTATTCTAAATAAAATTAAATAGCGTTTAATTGTAAAGAAAAAGGGTGACAGTAAAAAAAATTTTATTCAATATTTTTTAACATAGTAAATGGAAGGTTTAGAAGGAGATCCCTAGTAAATGGAGCCCGGTACTTATAAGGGGATTTTATCACCCCCTTAGACCTGCTCCTAATCTGGCACTGTTTGCTACCTTACATTATTATGTATCGTTATAGTAGTAATATAATATTTTGCTATTGTTTTCTTTTAATTATTCGAGCATATCTAATTTGTAATGTCAGTCGCCGCTGACCCCCAAGGCATTTAACGTGTTAAGAGGAATTCTGCCCTCCTTAGCTCACTTGTCCTAAATAATATTTCGAACATTTCAACGCATAAATGAAAAGTTTTATATTACTTGTAATAAATATTACCAATATAAATCACAAGAGAATTCTTTGCTCTCATTTTAGTGAGCATTGAAAGGGTTATGTTCAAAATGGGTCATTTGATGTGCAACAAGCTATTTATATCATCTCTTCGTTTGTACCACCCGTTACATGACACCCTGCATATTAGATCGTGTTCTGGAGGATATGTGGAGGTAATTTAGCATTTAATTAGTGACGGTATCGGTTGTATAAAGCACCGAGACATAAATTGAAGTTTAATTGAATAGTACAAGATACGATGAAGTTATGTTTTGAAAGGATATGTTGAAGTACAAACTGTTATATATGTATACATACATATTTCTTGGAACTTGAATATAGTGTTCATAAAGAGGAATGGTTTCATTGAGTTGAGAGTTTTTGAGAAGTTAAATAGACAGGTTCAGTACATAATACTGTATTGTATGCTATAAATAAGAATTATGATAATTTATAATATTAAGTATTAAATTGAAGCGAATAAAATAAGTTGAATGTATTTTTCGATGTGACTAAGCTAATTAATAAAATACTCTATATAATAAGCAATAAATAATGGATAATTTTAATTCTTTTCAGAAATTTTCATAAGATATTTTACATTATAAAAGAATTATTTTTATTTTGACAATCGACTTTCGTTAGTGGAAAGACGGATGCTCTGTGACTGACGCGGTTGCCTGATACGGGGTCACTTTGACCGATAACAATATCATTATAATTGTATAGTAAATTCGACCTGTACGAGTTAATCATTATCTACACTCTGAATGTCAGGTCATTTTGACCCAATATACAATATATACCGGGCCAAAATGAACCGACATTCGGTCTAAGAAGGTTAAACATTTTGAATGCGATCGATCCACAGGACTTCCGTTATGTAAGAGTGTGCATGTATGGTAAACTAAGTGACACAGATGCCGCATTATGGTTCCACATGAAATAGATTTTCACTTAAGAAAATGAAAATATTTCAGAAAAATTCTAAAATTAAATCTATAAAAAGTATTTCTAAAAACCAATTACAATTACTAATGTGAATTCCAATCAGCTAATATGCGCGATATTCACAGGGCAAAGAAATTAACTTCACTTATTGAATTTCAACAAAAAAATTTAATATTTTATGAACTTTTCAATTTCTTGTTTTGTTTTTTTGAGTTAATTGATTTGGAAAATGGACGGTTCATGTAGAAATTTGGTAAAAAGTGAATTCAGAGTTTAATGAAAATAATCTGCTTCGTGTGCTTGTATCTATTATACTTTATCAGCAAGCATGCGGATGTGGTATGTTTACGAGGAAATTCTTTAACCCATGATTACGTCCCATACATGTGAGATACGCATTACTCCATGAAACATACTTTCGATTCATTATTGCAAGTGCATACGATCAATACTGCTAGTGTATTTCTAGTTCTAACAGCAAGTTTCGAATCTTAGGTACACTCTTGGATTGCGGTATGAAATTAGACTGTGATCGCTGCAACTTTATTAGAACAGCGGGCTAGAATATATGCAACCAAGTCTGAAACTGTTCCAGCTGTCCTTGAAGTAAAATTTATTCTTCAGGCCAGTTTAACAAGAAGTTACCTTTGTAAATTGTACGAATTTTAATTATATAACAGAGACTGCAATATACAATGCCGACAGTGTTAAAGCCTCGTATTCTGTCTGTACACGAACCACTGTAGTTCGGGAGGTAGGAAAAATCGTCAAGTTTTCTACTGTTTTCTGTATCTACTTAAGTGGAAGGAGCAACGAAGCTCGAACAGAATTGGACAAGAATATGCACAGTACGTTAAAGAGCGTATCGCGAAGCGATAAGAGAACCATCGCGCTACACTAGGAACGGCAGGAAGCTGTATGAAAAGCCCTGGTAACGTCTGGTCATTCTCTCTCGGGATTCCGTGGCAGTCGGACGCGTTTCGAAACCTTCGACCTCGTCTCTTTCTACTTGTATATCTCCTCCATCCCTTTTCTGTCCTGTAGAAATACATATATAGAGGGGAGAGACGGTTGTAATTCCTCGTACGTCTCAGCGAACCCAATTCGAAGGGTTGAGAAAGGGAGAAGTAGGTGGGTTCGTCGAGAGAATCATCGTATTCTCTCGTGTATCTATCGTGCGATTCGCGTAAGCTCCGTCGCGAGGAGTCTCCGTGTCACGCAGCGGGGTCGATCGAATCGACGAATGAGAGAGAAGGAGGCTGTAAAAACGCGAGGTGGAGCGAAAAGGATCGGGCGAGACGGTCGCCATTGCTGTGAGAAGCAGTGCCACCTGGTCCCGCGAAGTAGCGGTAAGGGGGGTGCGTATTGACGCGACTGCGCGATTTAGTCGACGCGGTAGAAAAGGGTTGTGATTTGAGCAGCGGTGGGGAATCGCCGTTGGTGGAACAGAGATAAAACGAGGAGAAGGAGGGGGACGGGCTGAAAAGTTCGGGCCAGGCTTGGTTCGATCGCTCAATATTCATCCCTTGGCCGGACGAGAGCGCCCGAGAACAGCGGCTCCAGACGAGGGCACGAATCGACCCTTCCTTCCTTTGCGTCCTCGCCCGCGGAGCTGCTCGATCGCGGCACCGTTCCGTTCCATTCCGTCAGAAGAAGAACAAGATCACCGACAGAAAGCAGTTCAGAAGCCTGACAAAGGAATATTCGTACGTCGTCGTTCGTGGTGATACGCGCAACCGTTTCGTCTCTCCATCTTTAACCGTTTAAACGAGCGAAATGGAGGGCAAGAAAGAACAGTATTACTCACCTCCGCCGAAGCTTGGCAAATGGGAAGGTTTTAGGGTTTTTCTATGGAACTCCGAGACTGGACAGTTCCTGGGGCGCACAGGCGCTAGTTGGGGTAAGTTTCTTTTCAAAAATCCTATACTTTTCATTGCTTAACAATTTAATCTCAATACTGCGATTCATATTCCTTTTAGCTATTTAATCATTAGGTCACTATCATATTTTCAAATATTTTTAAAGATACATTAAAAAAGAGGCTGTTCTGTGGAGGTGGAGGATAGTATAGATTGGTCTGAAATTGTCCGCTAGAGCTTCAGTATATAGTGCTCCAAATTTGATCGATAATTTTGATAGATACTTCTGTAAACGATATCCTAAAAGGTCAGAACTCGAATATCCGATTGACATTTAATGATAACCCTCATCGTTCCCTGACGTAGAGCGTCGCAATGTACACGCGCACTGCAGTTCGCTCGCTATATCCTATATGAAGAGCTTTCGTGCTGCATTCAAATGACTAAAAGGTTCTGATCGTAGTTTAATCGATTGCTGCTTCGTAATGGTGATACAGAATAATAGCCATGTTTTTCAATAGCTCCTCCTCTTTTATGAGGAAAAAAAATCGATTCTGATATGGTGTTCATGGTATTCGTTGATATTTCTACTCGTTAACCCTTGTACAGCGGAGTCTGGGTCAATCTAGACCCAAACTTTCAAAACATATACAAAGATATTAACCTAAAGTTAAATGTATAATTTTTTGAAGGAACAGTGTAAAATTTAGAGAATGAACATAATATGAAATATAAAATTCAATTAATACTGGGTCTCTCTCCAAGGTCCGCCGTCCGAGGGTTAAAGGGACTTTGTATTTACATATAGTACACACTTCGTTTTATCTATCGTCCGGTATTTTTGTACCGATAATTCTTTCTTAAAACGTCCTTTTCAGTTTTCAGTTGAACGTTGAAGAAAAAAAATATACCGAGGGGCGGTAACCCTCGCGGTTCCATTGCGAATCCCATTCTATTCCACATTCTTGTCGAATACAAGAAGAACGGAGTGAAATAGGATTACATTTATTAATTTATGTCACGAACGTTTAATTTTGAATTTAATTTAGAAAGAAAGTGGTGTTTAGCCGATACAAAATATTATCTTTTCAGTTATTTTGATGAATAACTTGGTGAATTTACTATAATTCAGTGTAGTGATACTTAACGACGTCTACAGAAAAATTCTCTATGGCATCGTGGTTATGTAATGCAATTGGGGAAAGATATGACCGATAAAGATCTAATTCTCAATATTACAGGATTGTCGCAATGATAAAAGATACTGTTAATTCACTGAGATACTTTTATTAGATTAAAAATGACGAATCATTGAAATTTCTTACTGCATAATCACAACCTAACATGGACTTTTCAAAATATAGCTTTATTATTTATTTTTGGCTTCCATTATAGCACAAGGAAAATCTAGCGTTTATTATTTTAATAATTGCAACACCGATCTGTAATATGATTGTTGCACAGATCATCCCAATGATAAATATCTCAGTTCTACTTTATTAATAAACAATCTTTTATTATATAAAAATTTACCTATCTCGTTGTGTAATTACATTAATTTTAATATTCAGATTTAGAATTTCGTCGGTATTTGGAAGGTAGAAGTGATAAATATCTTGTTCCGTAATCAAGAGATTTTTCCTATCAAGAACAAATAAAAGCTTCTTTACCTTATCAACGTAGGTAAGCAGAAAGTTTCGAAAAATCTCTTCTGTAAACTTGTTGACATTCACTGAAGTCACAATTTTCTCGAAGAATTAACAAAGCGATTCGCGTCGCGTTAATGTGTGTTGGTATACTTAAAGCAGCTTATGTAGTCGCCTTTGCGAAGCTACATTCTTCCTTGGTCTACCGTCTTTTTTCCCCTCTTCTTCTCTTGAGGTTGATCGACTTCCACCAAAATCAATACAATCCAACGGACTTGCCATTCCGTGGAAATAGCTCGCTCTGATTTTATGCGGTTTACTTCTGCTCGTCATTTAAATTCATCGTAAAACCAGTCGAATTAACACTTTAATGACCACTGTTACATATTCGTGATTTTAATATTCAACTTTATACATTGCTATTCTCATTTCCTCTATTCGATGTAAATTAGTAATTTCACAGGGTACTCCAATTCGGCCCTCAAAGATAATTTTTATTGGACACGAAAAGAGCTAATAAAGAGTTAATACGAATCTTGCATTTTTATGCCAGGAAGTGAAATTTTTAATTATTATTATTGACAGTGATTCATCTGGAATATTATTTATTATAATTACTCTAAGGATATAGGACCTTTTTTGATCCAAGTAGAATCTGTTTTCCCATGAAATAATAGTGTACTATCAGTGGTAAAAATAATGTAACGAATTATGAAACTATTATTCAAGAAAATTAAATTAAAGATTCGAGGCTTCTTTGACTTCAGTTCTGGATATACATATAGCTTCCTGCATTAACGAAAAAGTTAACCCCTTGGTGGCATGATGGAGTTAATTTTCACACGAGTATTTAAGGATCATTTCACCCCAGTTGCAGTAATAAAATATAAGTTTAATTACCGAGCTCATGCAAAAAACAATTTGGAACAGTGGAGTCTGGATCAATCGTGATCCAAACTTACAAAACGTATACAAGGATATTCACCTAAAGTTGAGTGTATAATTAATAAAAGAAAGAGTTCCATACAGTAGAAGAAAATGAAGATAATAGTATGAGGGATAATAGTATTTAAACATGAAACGAAATTTACAATTTTTTTAACATAATTTTGCATTCAAACTTGCATATAATGATTTTCTAATTATGGATCGAAATCACCATAATGCAGAACGCTTTTTTTCCAACAGTTAAAAGTGTCCCACTTTTTAAGTATTTAAATATGCGTCGTGATACATTTTTCATATCGCAGCAAATTGAAATAGGGAGATTTAGTTCTTGTAAGAATAAAGTTTCTGTGCAACACGAGCTTTTTATTTAATTTAGAAATTATGTTTGTTTCCCACGAACTTTATTTATTTATTTAGAAGTAAAGATTTATCTTGTTAATATAGGGCGTGATTTATTTGTTATATGGGAAAATGTTTTTGAATTTATTAATTAGAAAGTTTTATTATTAATTTTTATTTTGAAAGAAATAAATTAACTGCGAGATAATATTTTTATTAGGTATGTACTTTAAGTTAAATTAGATTTTACTTTCATTCGAATGTCGCGCATCATCGGGGTTGCTATAGTAACGTAACATTTTCACGGTTTTTTTGAGATATCGATCACTTCGTATGCGGAACGCGGCGGCGCCACAAACTTAGAAGCCACTACGGTTCTTTCATGAAGTAGGTCATTGATATTGTTGCACATAAGTTCAAATCTCTGTATAGAGTTACTGTCACACATTGCAACATCTACTTGGGGTATTTTTATCTTGAGGATTAGCAAATAGTTAGGTTGTTAGCATTCATGTAACTAGGGTTTTTTCTAGGGTTCCCTAGCTTCACGAAAGTGTGATATTTTACTTCGGTTAATTTTACTTAATTCTAACAGTTTTTATACACATATTATTGTATTTTATCACAAGTTGAAGTGGTGAATGTGTTTTTTTATTTATTATAATAATTTCTAACTTATTTTAGTCCTTCCCTAGTTACGCTAATGGTCGTTAGAATATTCTATTTTCAGCAAAATTTTCATGCAAAGCCCTCAATTTCAAATGGTGACATCTTTGCATATTTTGTTTTAGAATCAGGAATTATCTCCTGGAAGGAATATTATACATATTTTCAGTAAAATGTTCACCTGAAAATATTGATTTTCAAGGAAGACATTTTGTATACCTTACCAGGAGTTAATATCGTAGGGCAAATGTTATATCTTGTGTGAAATATTCTCTTGTTGCAAGAATGCCTGCAGTCTGCAGATTTATTTGATGCCTAAATCAAGTGACTTTTAGGGAAGAAGAAAATAACTTGTTTAATTGTTAATTAAAAGTTGAGAATTTTAACTTCTGAACCCTTGTCTTACTTAAAGTAAACTTATAACTGTTCTGAACTTTATAATTTGTAAGAAGAAAGAGAAACTTTGAAGCAACTTCTTTTACATCCTTACTTAAATAAATATGTTAAGAGTATAATACTTCAAATTTATCATTTCAAGAAATTGTAAATAAAGTGAAGAATAATAATTATAATAAAAAAAAATTATTAACTGTTGTTATATTTGACTGAAGAACATATGTATTCAAGAAAGGAATCAGGATATTCCTATGGAATTAGTATCTTATGAAATTGAGATCGGGGGTGTTTTCCTCGAACGAGGGTAAGAAGAACTGTTGTGTTAGGTTAGAACATGTAACCTCACAATGCGGATATTTATACAGGGAGCCACATATACAGAGATCAATAACCTACTCTGCTTTTCTTCTATACATTATTTCAGTTATTTCTCATAGATATTATTTCATTTTATTATATAAATAGAGGGTAGCACCTCTGACGTAATTTTTATAAGTAGGGGATGGTTAAATTTAGGAAATGAAAATAATATGTAATGTTGTACAATATTAAATTAAAATTGGGGTTCTCCCCACGGTCGATCGTCTAAGGGTTAATATACTTTGTCAAAATGTACATTGACAAGGTTCAGCCCTTAACGTATTTAATTATATTTGCAGTTCATCATCTGTTTAATATTATTTGTTTATTTGCAATGAAATCGTATAATTCATAATTAAATATTTTGTGTAGCATTAAAAAATTTAAAGTTTGTTGAAAGTAAATGTTGCAACGAACTCTAATATATAATATTATACATATTTTGTAAGGAAATCTGGTGTTACGCCAAGCAAAATTTTAGCTGAAGACTTTAATTTCTAAAATTAAACATTTTTGCTGTCAGTAATGGTATAAATAGAAATATCGACTAGATCGTCGCTAAATATACGAAACTCTCGTGTCATCGAGTCAAGGTCTTAATATTTATTTTAAGTATTGATATTTTAATAGATAACACATGGGATCAATTATATCAATTTGTTACATTTACGAACAGAGCTTCAAAACCCTTTACTTTTATCATAATGAAATAAATTACATATAATTTATTAAATTCGAAAGGTAAACCAACGCACGTTCATATAAATCTATGCAACAATAAATTTCAAACAAATAGTAATTATTTAAATAATACTTTATCAAATGAATGACATGAAAATTGATAATTTTCAATATAGTTATTTAAATTTTATAAAAACTTTGTAATTTATGTATAAAAAAATGAATTATATGTAATTTGTCAAATTCTTTTGGAGACGTGGTCCAAGTTCAATTAATAAATCTATGCAATATTAGACTCCAAACGAATAATGATTATTTAAATAAGATTGTAACAGTAAATGGTAGAGTGTGATACATTAACAGCAAGTGGTGTGATTCTTCGAGGATAGATTGCTTCAAGCTGTACATATTCATCAACGATTCTTATTGTAAACGAGCTGCATTGCTTACTCAATATCAATTCAGGCCAATTAGACCTCGGATCATAATTGTCTCAATGTTCTACACTTCGGTTACTATGTGATCCGCGAAAGGAATTGTTGCGATAAAACAATTGCTTGTAAATGATACAGAAGACCTCAGCATCAATCTGCGTGTTTAAAGTTATTACTTAATTTTGTAAAAATAATTAATATTCAAAGGATTCTGAGAACCTAAGGTAGAAAATTTATTCTAATAGTGGCAAGGCTGAAAATTAGTTTAGAAATTAAGCTGTTGTTAAATTCTGTAAAATTAATTTACACTAAGGAGATACTAGCAATGACAAACTAAGGCTATGAAAACAATAAAAAGGCAAAAAATTAATTTTGCAATTAATTGAAAAAATTTGTCTGTAAGTATGATAATTTCTAAGGGCAAAATGTTGTTGATTGATTGCAGGCAAGATTTTGTTATTCTACGTTATTTTTTACGCGGTACTGGCTGGTTTCTTCGGGGCAATGTTGACCGTTTTTTACCAGACGTTAGACCCGAACGCACCGAAATGGCAATTGGATAAATCCTTGATCGGCAGCAATCCTGGACTTGGTTTTAGGCCTATGCCACCAGCAAGCAACGTTGAAAGTACCTTGATTTGGTACAAAGCTAGCGACGAGGGTAACTTCTTGCATTGGACCAGAGAACTGGACGCGTTCCTCGAAGGTATTTCATTTTTAACACTGAACTTAAAAACTTTATTTAAATATAACTTACTATCTTTATAGTCCCTTGACCTCTATATGGGTCAGCATACCTACATGTGGGTCAAGAGAGTTCAAAATCGGAACTCATAGAATTTTAACATTGAAGACAATTTGTGTTTAGAATTTTATATAAATTTTTAAAAAGTAGACAAACATATGGATTGACATATTAGAGCACTAATATTAACCGATACGCGAGAAAATTTTCTTTGTCCTAACGAGTTAGTTACGTCAACAGCTTGTTAAACCCGGTCAAGGTAAGACCAATCTTTAGATCAGAGTTTCCATGTCTTTATTTCTAATAACCCTTATCTTTAATTAAACAATCCATTAGTTTAATTTCTACAAAACGATGAAGATAAAACAGGGTCTCTTTAATTAATCCAGATCATCAGCTGCAAATTAAAAAAAGAAGAAACAATTGATTTATAATTTAAGAGATTGATTTGGGATTTCTTTAGAATATCAGAAGCCTGCTGGCGGGACAAATGGTGCCCAGCAGAGGATGCTCTGCGACTATGGAAAACCACCGACTCCTGGCAAAGTCTGTGACGTGGATATGTCGACGTGGGGACAGTGCACAAAGGAAAATAAATATGGTTACAATAAATCTGCACCATGCATTTTCCTCAAGCTGAACAAGGTACATGTTTCTTCAACAAGGAATTGGATATTTCAAATGATGAATTTTTAACCCTTGAATAGCGGGGCCTGGATCGTGACCCAAACTCACAAAATGTATACAAGAGTATTAACTTAAAGTTAAATGTATGATTTTTAAAAGAACAGTGTAAAATTTAAAAAATGAGAATAATATGAAATGCAATACTAAATTAAAATTGGGGTTCTCTCCATGGTCCGCCGTCCGAGGGTTGAGAAAAATAAGGGTCAACAGAAGCGATGGTCCAAGCGAAACTCTGAACGATCCTTGTCTTTTTGACATGAGAAAATAAGGACAGAGCGACAGTCAAACAGCTATGTTGGATAGAACAATTCAAATTTTGCGATTTTTAGACCAAAAAGTAATATTTTCTCATGATTCTGTTTTAAAAATATCCTTTATACAACCCAGCACAGTACAAGGCCTGATTTTGCAATTTGATTTTTAAAACCTTCTAAAAAATACGTTTCTGTGGAAGAAATCTTTTTACAATTTTTCCCAAAAAGTACTATATGTACCTTGTTAGATATACTTCTCCTGAATATAAAGCAGATAGCTACAGATGGTACTGTCACTCCTGCTAACCCTTAAAATTTCTTATCGTTTAATTTGAATTACGCGTTTTCAGATTTTCGGCTGGAAACCCATATATTACAACGATACATCGAATCTGCCAAGTGCTATGCCATCCGATCTTCAAGAACACATCAAGCAAGAGGCACTCGCCAATAGGTTGGACACCGTCTGGGTATCCTGTGCCGGTGAAAATCCAGCTGATATCGAGAATATGGGTGCCATTCAATACATTCCACGTCGGGGCTTTCCTGGATACTTCTTCCCATTCACAAATACCCCTGGCTACCTTAGCCCGCTCGTAGCTGTCTTCTTCGAGAGGCCTAAATGTAAGTAATTAATTCATGGAAACCCAGGACATCCTTAGTTAACTGTTTTTGGCTTGAATTGCCAAAAGTTTCAAAGTTAGAAAATTTGAAAATTCAAAAATTATAGAATTCTATTATTTTAAAGTTTCAAAATTCCAGAGTTCTATAATCCTGCAGTTACTAATTTCTAGAGTGCCAGAATATCAAAATTATAAAATTTTAGAAGTCCAGAGCTTCAAAGTTCCAGAATTTAAAAATTCCAAAATTATGGATTCCTATTGTTCCAGAATTCTAGAATCCTAGACTCCCAGAGTTCCAAAGTGCTACAATTAAAAAATTATAGAATTTTAAAAGTCCGGAGCTTCAAAGTTCCAGAATTTAAAAATTCCAAAATTATGGATTCCTATTGTTCCAGAATTCTAGAATCCTAGACTCCCAGAGTTCCAAAGTGCTACAATTAAAAAATTATAGAATTTTAAAAGTCCGGAGCTTCAAAGTTCCAGAATTTAAAAATTCCAAAATTATGGATTCCTATTGTTCCAGAATTCTAGAATCCTAGAATCCCCGAGTTCAAAAGTGTTACAATTAAAAAATTGTAGAATTCTAAACTTCCAGAACTCCAAAGTCTAAAAATTCTAAAATTGCAGAATTTTAGAGTTTCAGAGTTTCAAAATTCTATGATTCTTGTCATATGTTACTATAAATAAATATTTCAACCGAAGTACAATTACACCACTGCCCAAGAAGACTAAAAGCAAACAGTAATAGACTCCATCCTCTACACCTACCCTTAACTCAAAGAAGCCTACATTGCACCTAATTGTACCTCAAGCGAACCTATTCATCACTTCAAACCTTTGACAATGCTTTTTCACCTTGAAACTTTCAGACGGTGTACTGATCAACATCGAGTGCAAGGCCTGGGCACACAACATCATCCACGACAGATTCGAGAGGCGTGGTTCAGTGCATTTCGAGTTAATGGTGGATTAAGCATAGCGCTTGCCGCCTTTTGCAAGACCACTATCAACTGCGTCCAAGAACAATGTAGGAGGAAGGGGAATAAGAGAAATTTCTTTTTTAATCAATCTCGCTGGCGGATTGTGACCACTCCTTCTTTCCTTCGGTTTTTCTCTGCCGACGATACCGCCCTGACCGCCTATATATTTCTCATCGTTATTTTAACGTAGATCCGTCAGAAGCTCATGCTCATCCTCATCTTCATCGCGCTTTACATTGTCGCGCTTCTTGACACCATCGTGGACGATCGTAGTCCTTCGACGCATTGATAATTGTCACACATTACACATACACAAACGGAAACGAACACACACATGTACACATACAACATACATATGAATATGAAACAGTTTCAAACATAATCGTCGCTTCCACGGACAAAATGATTGTACCGACGAACGGACCAGTAAAAAAAATTGGCTATACAAAAGAGCTACGTATATGTATAAAATACGTGCGCGTGTTCGCGCGTGTACGTATCAGGATGCACAAAAGTAAACAGTTTAGCGGAAAGTAAATTCTGCACAAAAATGTGGCGGCGGTATCTCTTCTTTCTTATCGGGGGTGAAGGGGAGTGGTCGTAACCATGATCTAAGTATCGTTCGGAGTATCCGTTTGACGCGCGTAAGACTTTATCATTTCAATTACTGCCCCGTTCTAATTTCACGGGTTAACCTTATTATTTCCGTTTCCGTTAACTCGGTCTCGTTCCAGGCTCTCGTGCGCATATTTCATTTCCATTTATTTCATAACCGAGACTGGTTGATGTCCGCCTAGGCGACGAGACCGCTAACGTGTAGGGTACACCGATGATGAATAATTGATACTCTGTTAGTTCGTGCCACGTACGTAGACGTAACTAAAGGAATAAATAAGAAAATTATGAAAAAAAAAAATGTAAAAAATGGTTAGTATCTTTTACGCCCGTCGGTACGGTGCACCCGGCACGGTGGAACTTTTGATTTCGAATTCCACGAAGAAGCTCTCGGACGCGGCTCTCGGCGAATCTCGATCGAAAGTTCCGTCGTTTCGGGCCGAAGAATCGAAATTCAGACGGAAAACCAACCTGTGTCGATTTTTACCCCCGGCGGATCGTCGAAAATGTACGGTGGAACTTTTGATTGGAAATCCCCAAGAATAATCCTTCGTCTCTACTTCTGTCTCGTTCCACGGAGAAGGGAATGACACTGTTAGTAGGACGCGTGAAACGTATGCTAATTAATGCTTCTAATTTCATTAATGGGAATCTAGGTTGTCCTTGGATTTTCATTTGAAGTTCCGCCTGTACGGATATAGTTCAATGAACACTGTGTTCTATACAGTGGGCTTAATTATGGGTGGTAATCGGTGATTAACACGAAAAAGGAAGACAACCAGGAATGGTTTGAATACGTTGCTCAAATCTGGATCGTTACCGCCGCAGCAAATTTCGTTGGATTTCGATTTGTCGAGAAACAGCGCGCAGTTCGCACGGGAATGAAAAAAAGAGTTTAATCAGCCTAGTGATAACCGTACGACACCGTATGGAATATGTATTTATGATTATATCGTACCGCATGATAATATCTAGCGCTAGTCCACGCAATCGTTTAGTCCAGGCATGCACACGAAATTGCCCGTAGGGCGCCCGAGTACCCGGGTGGCACTCCACCGCGAGTCTGGGCTCGTAACTGTGCCCGCGGGTTATCTCGGACGCCCGTGCCCGTTTTACTACTTGCTGTGCATGCCTGGTATAGTCGATAGGTTGTATCATACAGTCTGGAGATCAGAGCGATTGTATTCTTTTTCTTTAACGCTTCATTTTACAAAATTACAAATCTCGTCGATAATATATATTAACCCTTGAACAGCGAAGCCTGGATCAATCTAGACCCAAACGTACAAAATATATAGAAAGATATTAATTTAAAATTAAATGTATAATTTCTAACGAAAGAGTTTCATATACTGGAACAATGAAAATAATTTGAAATAATGTGAAATATGAAATTACATTAAAATAATGGCTCTCTCCATGGTCCGCCGTCCGAAGGTTGATAAATAATTCTAAGTGTATACGTGTTTTTATTCATTATCGCTTTCTATATCACTGAACGAATAATTTTATCGGTACTTTTTAATTGGAAATATTCCAACTGTCTTTAGTTTTTACATTAATTTTCTTTTAATTACACGCGTTTTTAATTAGAATGTCTGACCTCTGATCTCCCGTCTTTGTGGCTTGTACTTATTGTTAGAAACAAAGCTGGTTGTCCCGAGAGCTTGTTCGTTTATTCGAAAGACAGCGTTTGCACGGTGGTCGTCGCCCATCGACACCTCGGATCCCATCATTGGCCTCGTGGAGCTTGCGTCGTGAATTTAATATTTAATATTAAACGCTTCTCTGTTCACTACCAAAAATTATATACTGCCAAATACAATCCGTTACCTGTTACGTATGGAATTTCTTCGATTCAGTTTGCACATGCACACTCGAGCGTTCAAAGCATCATTTAAATTCTCGATGAAAAGTGTTCTGAACACGATGATAGTACAAAAAGGCTATAAACGGGCGGCGACTTCGTCTGTGAACGCTGCCGAAAAATTAAGAAAAAAGAAAAAACAAACAAAAACAAAAAAAAAAAAAAGAACAGTAAATTAATTGCTATTTATTAATCGACGTAAACGAACGATTATTATTATTACTCCCATTATTCTTATTACTATGATTTTCTTGGGTCCTCGTCCGGAGCCATGTTGAGATAAGAAACCAAAAAAATGAAGAAAAAAAAAAAATTTAACATAGATTAATCGTCGATGACACTATTAAATTTTAAGAAAAATATGAAAGGAAAGAAGAGAAGAGAACCGAAGTGCATCAGAAGAATGAATACGAGGATGTTGATGACGATGATGACGATGATGATGAATCACGCGTTGATAATGTATTACTAGGAATTATTACACTTGTATCCAGTGCACCGATCGAGAGCGACTATATATGTATATTCATCATTGTGAATCAGCTGTTTCTAATAATGAATCATCTGTTGTTGAAATATAAGGAATTAGGCCCTTCGTAATGACCCTGAAGGGTGGAGAAGGTACAGAGAAATACGGGAAATGATAAGAAGAATGTTAGCCAGGTATCGGGGTTCAGTGATCATGCTTAAAAGTTTCTTTGGTCGCCGCATAGAACGTTCGTTTTTGAAATCAAGAGACAAATTGCAAAGATGTAGAGTTAAAAGTTGGTATACATTAAAGACACTATCTAAACTGGTTACATAAGATAGCAATTAAAAAAATATATCCTGCTATCCTACCAGACTACGTTCATTCTCCAGATTCTATTTGGAACATGTTTCCTGTGTGATAATTGTTAACTCAATTAGCGCTTTAAGTAACGTACGTGAGATGTATGAGAGTAGACGAACATTTTGACGAGAATAAGCTGTAAGCTTCTAAGGTGTATTTAAAAAATGGTATGTTTAACAACACGATATTAATATTATATACATGTTATGAATAAGATATTATTACCAAAGATAATCTTAATACCAGCGAGATACTTCGACAGAACTCGCGGTGACGTATGAAATGTGAACGCTAAACAGATGAAAAAACCACAAAGTTGACGAAATACATAATTGTTCTAATTAATCTCGTTTTAAGTAACGGTTAAGTATGTAAAGCGTAATATGCATGAATACCCTTTAATGTTATACACGTACAGTGTAAGATAATTAAGGCATTCATCTGTATTGTATACATGCGTTTGGGAACCGCTCATTTAGGCCCGTATTTGCATTAGAAATTGGAGCAAGGATCAATAAAGGTACCACTGATATTTTCAGAATAGAGAGATTAGTCGATGAAGGGAAACGAGTACATGCGATAATATGGAACACGTGATATCAAATTTCCTCTGTCGAGACACCATGTCGTTTTTATCGACTTTCATTCTCGTACAATTTAATAATCTATCAAGTCCGATCAAATTTCAAGCGTTAGACGATGGATATTCAAATATTCGTTGAAAAAGTATATTGAAGCTTTACTATTGCGTTGAACGATTGAGACCCAAGTAACATAGTGAAATATGGAGCCAAGATAGGTCTACGATAGGGTATGCACACGAAATTGAAATTGTGCTCGCGGGCAACCTGGGGCAACCGTGCCCGCTTTACTACTTGCTGTGCGTACCTCGTCTATGATTTCATGACCCGATGTCCCGAGAAAGGAAACGTTCAGCTGTCTAATCATCCATGACTGCATCTACTTTTCATACCTTCGCGACTTTCTATGTATGTATAGGGAAGAGGTTCATCGAACGTGATATTACATCAAAACAAAAAAAGAAAATGTTAAAAAAAAAAAAAAAAAAAAATGAGAGAGAAAAGCTGCTTACGTTAAGAGGTATTCCCCAAAGGTATTGATCGTTCGAGATCAATTGAATTTATCATAGATTACGAAGGCTCGCAAAATCACCGTTAAAATACGGAAATTTTCAGACGTCGTTTTTGGGGTCTTCGTGTACCTATAACTTGTTATCGATTAAGAGAGAATTATGTACTTAGAATCAATACATTCATTATTAGATGTTTAAGGTATTATAGTTAATTACACATGATCTGCGCCAATATAGCTGTCGAGAGGCCTGTCACCGCGAAACAAGATCCACGAAGCTACCAACTCCTGTACCGATTGTTAGATTGCAATTTGTAAATAATCGGAAAAAAAGTAAATGAGATCAGCCCACTTCAATCATATCGTTGACTTTACTTACGAGGTAGAGAACGAAGGAATTCGTTTCAACATCGTAGGGGGAATTAGATTTATCGGAGTGATCTGAAAAACTAATGTTTTTGCGTCATACCAGGCTGTTGTAGCTTAATTAGGTATCAAACGTGGAAGATTCACAGCGTAGATTTTTGAAAATGAAAACAAAACCTGTCTTTCGAGGAACTTTGATGTGTGCGAGCTTTCGGCCCGATGTTGTTGCGTTTTCACCTTAGATTTCGAAACGCGAACTTAAATCCGGCGACTTGGACATTTAAGCATGAATATCTGGTAATAACTCATAGCGAAATGGCATGGCTGTTGATATCATTATGCTTGAAATGTGTTATGAAAAATAAACAGAATGTATAAAAAAAATCTTCCATCATTTTACTTTATTCTCCAAGTGACCATGAAATGAAATGAAAATGGCCATGTAAAATAAGATGGATTATTTATGTTTCAGAACAAATTAGTTACTTATTAAAATCTCTACTACCTTATGAATGCTTACTTTGATTAAGTTCATTAATTTCTTTACCTTATCGGCAGAAGATTTTATTTATAACAAAATATTGCACTAAATTTTATAACTATACATATAAGTACATAATTAAACAATACTGACCATGCATTCATTATTATTAATTTTCTTTCCGTAAAATTGTATTTGCAATGTGATACACTTCAGAATCTCAAAGGCATAGTTCCTGAAAAAAATATAACAGCGCTTAAATAGAAAAAAATTCGTATTATTTGCTGCATAATTAATAAACGTACTATAGAAATAATGATACAGTTATTAATTAGTCATCAAATAATAACGATTGCCCAGGTCTTACCACGGGGAGATGTAATTAATAAATATGCAATTGCATATTTGTCCTACATACAATATGTATTACTAAGAATACATGCCTATACGAGCGCTCGTAATAATATTAAATGTTCGCTTAAATCTAACGATTCCTAATTAAACACTATTATATCTTAATGACCATAAAATCATTAAGATATAATCATTCTACAAAACCATAAATAAATATAATAAATTTGTAGATTTTGTTGTCCTCACCAGAATACTTCCTGAAACAAACTACAAAAAATTAGATACAATTTGCAAAAATAATAAGACTCGCATTACCTTAATACGAGAATAGTTC